TGTCAACCTGTCTAGGCTGTGACATCATTAGGACTTGTGTGTGAGTTCAGACTTCAATGAACATATCTATCATTTTTTTTTTAATCCTGAAAAATAAGCAGTAAAATTGACTTGTCTCAATAGAATTTTTTGTTTCACCCTTTTTATTATAATAAACTCTGACACCTGCCCCTCTGACTCCTGACACCAGCTGGGCTGATTCTGCAACCCTTTCAGTACACAGGCTAACTCTACCAGACCAGCCTTTGTTTCTTCTTACCAGGACTCTACCTTAGCAGGTGCACATTTAATTGATAATACAACTCTGCAAACCCACTGTGAGACTCCAGACTGAGACCTCAGCCATATATACTCTCTGTATAATGGATAATTTCTTTAGAGTCATCAGAAAGACTTTCTGAATTTCTACCTAGGCTTTACTTTGAGCATTTAAGGCATTTAACTTACCCTGTCCTTATGCACCCTCTCTAGTATAAGAAATACTTGTCCTACAAGATAAATTATTCTGTTGGTAATCAAAGAGAATAATTAGCTCAACTATATTTTAAAGATGTATTTATTTATTCATACAGAACTGGGGTACAAGCCACAGGTGTAGGGGCAGTTAGAGGCTTCACAGAGACAATAGGGAGCAGAAAAGGTAGCTCAACAAAGTGCACTGCTGAGGGGAGCAGCCAGCAGGTAGGAGAGGTCTGCCGCACCATGTGGGTCACCTCTGGGGCTGGGGATTGAACTCACACTGAAGTGGCTACAGCTAGCTTGCAGTGCTGTGTCCTAATCTGTTGCACCACAGGGAGGGTCCTGTCGCAACTATTTTATCTCCTTATGTTTTATCTTCCCTTTCTGCTACCACTGGTGATAATCTTGAGTCACGATGGTGTTATGACATGCCCATTTCCCTTGACGAGGTTATTCACAGGCTATTTAAATATGTGAGCTGTCCAAGTCTGAGGTTCCATTTCAAAGTCTATTTGCTGTGACCACTCCTCTATTAACTACTGTTTGGTCAGGGCCTAGCAGCAACCTGTCAGCACACACAGACTGCTTAGTTTGAGACATGTAGAGGACAAAGGACAGTTTACAAAGGAGAGGCCCTGGTTTAAGGAAAGGTGAAGCATCTCAACCTAGGTAGAAAAGAAAGTGACCTCCCATAAGCTAAAGGTGGCAAAGAGTGAAGGTCAGAACTCAGAGAGTTGTGCACAAGGAGGGATGACCATCCAACCAGACATGCATTCGTAGGCCAATAAATGCTATTACTCAAGAGAGGATAAGACAGATGAGCACATGATACAAGACCAGAAAATAACCACCCTCTGTCTTCCATTTAGACTTCAATTTTCCCACTGATGCTCCCACTGGCCAAACCTAACTGAAGGATTCCAACTGTGCACCTGTCATGGCCTTGCATAATGCTCTGTCTCCAAAAGTAAATTCAGAGAAGGTGTGGTGGAAGGCAAAACTAAAGAAACAAGGCAAGGGTATCCAGTATTATCTTTTAATGTACTTTTTATTTGGTTTGCCAAAATATCATTTAGGGCTTTTGCATCTATCTATCTATCTATCTATATTTTTAAACTTATTTATGCATAGATGAACTGGGGTACAGGGCAAAGGTATGGGGGGGGTGTTGAGAGGATTCACCGGAGACAGAATGGGGAGCAAAACAGGCAGATCAATGAAGTACACTGCTAAGGGTAGCAGCAGACGAGATAGGAGAGGTCTGCTGTGCCCTGTGGGTCACCTCTCTGGCCGGGGATTGAACTCAGGCTGTTGTGGTGACAGGTCATGCACCTATCATAGTGAAATTGGCCTATCATTTTTTTTTCTTGTGCTACCTCTCAGCCATTGGGCAAAGCATGTAACATGATTCTGCCTCAATTTAAGAGGGTGAAGGGCTGTACTCAGTCACCCAATGTTATTTGAGACAAAATATAGCATTTTCTATTTCTTACCTCACTGATTTTTTTGTTTTGTTACTTCATTTACAAGTTTCTCTGAGTTGAGAATTAAAGAGTGTCTGAACCGTTACCCTAATCTCACGCTAACAGGTTAGTCTGCCACAATTTCAGAGATGAAAATAGAAGATCTGAGACTTCCAAGTCAGAGATAAACCAAAGTTATTGTTCACAGAAATAGCAGCAGCTAGAAAATCAACATTCTTGCTCCAAGTGACACATGCACACACAATGAGAGGCATTACAGGATGGGACTCCCAGGTCAAGAGACTGAATCTTTTATAGGGAACAATAAACACTGTATCTACTAAGAGAACTTGCTACACAAACATCCTTGAAAACTATTCTCAAGAAAGAACAAGCAGCTCTATTCAAGTCATTCACCAACATGAGAAGTCTATAGTATCGACAATTGTCAACTTTTTAAAAACCTCCTTTAGTACCTAATGGAGATTAATTGCTCATTTTGTTTGATTTGTTTTTTAAGATAAAGTAACTTCCTTAGCTCTGCTAATTTTCTTCTTGATTTCATCCTACATATGAATATTGCTACCTATTGTTTGTTGTTTGTATTACTAAATAGCTTTATACTAACCTGTGCATGTCATTTTATAAATGATATTACATGTCATTTATTGGATTATAGATTTGATACCCAGCATATAGTTGATGTTTTTGATATGATATGAGTCTAAGTTTTACTGGAGAATTTTAACCTATTCAAATTTATGCACTGTGATATTTTTAATCTTGAAGTACTTCCTTCCTGTTAACCTTAAAAAAATCCTTTATTTCACAAAGTTCTCAAGCTTGTTGCTGTTTCCTGCCTCTCTCTAGAAATGTGGAATTTATATATATTTTTTTCTTTCAGCAAATGATTTCTTTTAAATTTCTAAATGAAATACATGGATACCTACTTTTCAACCTATGTATATCTGCCATCCTCTTCTTTTTCTCTCTAGCCATTCTCCAGCAGATAATTCATTGGAATTGCCAGATTTTTCTTTTAGAGTCAAGTGATAAGGAGGATGAAGTGATGATGATGGCAATGATGATGATGATAATTTCAGTACAGGCTTTTGAGGCTTCTATTTCATCATTACATTGTTTCACAGTCACAAGTGACGGTCACTTAGAGAGAATCCTGAGGTGGTAACACTCACTGACATTTCTCAGATACAATATCATGTCCATGTCTTATTACCATTTTGAAGTCAACAAGCTTACAGAGGGTTGCACATAGATTTATGATATGCTTTGTGCCTAACAATGTTTTTCCATTGTTCTCGTATATTAATAATTTGTCTGGAAGTTAGTCTGATTTTTACTCTTAAGTTTCAGAATCCTTCAATAGAAATTTCCCTCTCTTCTGGCATTTAGTGTGGGGAAGAGAAATCTATGCTGTTCTTATTGATTTTTTTTTCATGTGGATAGCTTTTCTACTTCAACTTGAATGCTTAAAGAATTTGTCCAATATTCTAGAAATCAGAAATGTCACAAATTGCTATCTACATGTGTCTCTAAGTTAATTTTCTGTTCTTGGTAGGCTTTTTATAGAACTAAGGAGATATATCTTTTTAGCTTAGGGAAACTGGCTTAAAATCTCTCTTTACTAATAGTTTCTCCTTTTCTATTTCATTTTTATGAAAATGTTATTTCTAGTATGGATAGAGCAAAGCTGTTAAACTTGCTATTTTTACTTACCTACCTCATTTTTGTCCTTTTCCTCTGAAGTCCAGAGAATTAGCTTGAATTAATTAATCAAATCCTTGTTTTAGCTTTGACCTACAAATAACCACATTTTCTGCTCATTGATACCAATGTGTTTCTATTGGTAATTCAGCATTTTCTTATTTTATGCAATAGCAATTTTTCTAATGTAGTTTTTTATCTTCCTAAATTAAAAGTGACATCAAGGGTCCTTAACAAGCAAAAATGCATCAATATTTTTCCGGCAACCCAATATATGCTTCTATCGGTATATGTATAATGACAGTACGTGTTTCACATGTGTTAAATGGTGCTCCTTGAATGAAAGGTCTTACCTTTATTGAGTTATATCATACACAGATGCAGGAAGGGAGAACTGACAGCAGAGTATTTACTTCACCAGGTCATCAGGTCACCTAAGCTGTCCACTCTCTGCCAGCAGGTCACTGATCCTCTCAGGTACACTCCTTACACTCTGTCTTTTTCTAGATTCCCAGGCTTCTCCCTCCCTAGGCTCCTCTGACTAGGGGTAGACGCTTATCTGATGACCATTCCTTTGCTTCATTATACACTGCCCATACTTTATAATAAAGTCCCTTTGTAAATGAACTGTACTATAGTTATCCTTTCTCGAGCATTCCATCTATTTCTCACACACACTTGCTTGTCCTTGTGGGACCCTGACATGCATGTCACCAATGTGACTCATTTAGTTTATTAGGGTAAGAAAATGTTCAGGTTTACTTGACCAAGATTATCCTTCTTACAGGGTTTTCTCACTGACCTGCTGGGAGTTTTTCTAGTTGGATAAAAGATAGGTCCACTGCAAAACCCAAATTTCCAACATGGCATGCCAGTTTGCTTATCCACAACATTAGTTGTTTTATTGGATTTTGAAAAGGATGATGTAAAAATAGAAAATGATTTATAGCCCTATGTTAAAACATAACTTCTTTCATCCTCCTTGTAAAGATTTTTCTACAAGAGAATTCTATGTTTCCTCCCCTCATAAACTGACTATCCTCCTCTAAGGTTTATCTAAATGAAGGAGTACAGTTAAGAGGTAAACCTAGTTCTTGCTTGATGATTTTAACAATGACATACTTGAAAATTTGTTTTAAAATTTAATGTGAAATATGTAAAAGTGCAATGTTCTTTGACTCTAAAATATTAATTTCAGTAACAAAATTATATTTCAATTTAACACAAATTGCCTAACAAGAAAACATTTATAGAAGACTGTTTTTCTTGGTACAACTTCTACTATAAATACAAAAAAAAATTAAAATCAATAAAAAGATAAAATTCTATTTCTATATTGTGTGACCTCTGCTTTACTCTATTAGTAGTGGACAAAAATGCTGACCATCAAATAAATACTCCTGGGTCTTCTAAAGATAAAGTTCCTGAGGTGTTTTTTCTGTGTGCTATCTCCTGATCTCATTTACTTCACCATCATCCAGTATAAATGAAGCCAGCAGTGGAATTTGAGAAAAATAGTTCTTAGCCAAGATATGTTTGTGTTTGATCTTGTGAATAAACAAGGGTTCATATCCCTGAAAAGAAAATGAAATTCTGTTAAATGTCAGATATATTTGTCAAGTAACTTAGTTATCCCTCCATGCTCTTGCTTATTTATTGTTTCTGCCCAGAAGTAGTTTTTCTTATATTCTATCATCTATTAGGGCTCAGATCCTAGGAAGTGTTAACTGAAAATCTTTCCTAATTCTTCCTCTGGCCTCTCTGAGTCTAAATTAATCTTACCACTTTTCTCCATACTCAAAAGCACTTTATTTGTATTTTAGTTATAATATTTAGTTTATTCTTTCTCTGCTTGAGAGTCTTTTCCATGTAAAGAAAGTCCTGGAAGGACCTGACCTGGGTCTTTTTCATGCCTGTGTCTCTGGTTCCACATGATAACAAGGAGTAGTTTTGAATGAATGGTCTTGTCACCTCGGTTGTATCTTTAAATCTATTTTAGCATTGAAACTATTTGCAACTTGCTTTATTTTTCTTTTAATGCTGATCTTTCACTCCGTATCTCCTCGTTGGTGGTATGACAATACAAACTTCTCTTTGGTCACCCTTTTTACTACCTCTGATGTCTCCCCCTGCACTGGTTAACTATGAGAAAATGATCTGTCACATTTACAGCTCAAAGAACAGAAGTCTTTCCCTGTGTTTTACCTCTAACATTGTCATGGTTGCCAGAAGTCAAGATTGTTTTAACTTTTATTTTTTTCTTTAGTTACTGAAAAAGCAAATATCTCTGTGCTTTAAAAAAAAAATCTGGAAATGCTCCAATTTGTCCTAAGACACAAATTGTCTTTTAACGAGACTTAATACTCAAAAGATTATACCAACCCAAAACCATTTAAAGGGTAAAATTTTTTTTGAGTCAGTCTGTTTGAGAACCGTAGCTGTATTTACAGAAAGTCAATATGAGCTGCATCCTGACATTAGAAATGGGTGTGAATAGAACATTTAATTTGATATTGCCGGAATTTGATTAAATACACAAAGGGAGCTGTGTGAATAAATTGAAGAAGCAGTGAAATAACAGCTTTGGAGAATGAGCTTCAATCCCACTATGGTCCTAGATGAAATGATACTGCTTATATGAGTATGCTTCCTGTGATTAAATATTTATCAGGCAGCTTAGTTTAAATATAATACTTAACACAGTTTCAATTTCTTGCTGCCCTTTTTGTTAATCCCTAGAGTGAACTTTTTCTTAGCATGGAAAAATTTTTAAAACAAACTCCAAAAAAGCTAAAAATTTAGCCAGTTTCTCTTCTTTACACCTTCCCCTACCCTGATAAAATCACAGGCAGAGAATTGCACTATTTCAAATCACTATTATATTTCAAGTCATGTCTTTATTTTTTCTTAGCTGATATCATACATAGAATAGAATTAAAAGCACTGCAATCTAATCAACAGAAGCCAGAGTAAGTAGCAGCTATTGGAACCTTCCACTTGTTTCGTGTAAATGGGGCTTTCTGGGAACTCCTCAGGGTCTTCCAAATCTATTCATCAAAATATTCTACAGATTGTGTCTGTGACTGAAGTTAAATGATATTTAATTTTTAGAGTGTTTCCCTACTCCTAGTTAGTTAGGAACAAATGAACCTATACCCCCCCATATAAGTATCATTGAGAGCATACAATTATTAACATTTATTTGATACTCAGTGTGCTTTTAATTAAGCACGTTAAGATGAAAATCACAGAGGACAGATCCAGGTTATATAACACTTCTCTGATGGTTACACTCATTTATTCATGCAGCAAATACTTATTAACCCTCAATCTGTGGCAGGCATTGTTGTAGATGTTAGAGATATCGACATACATACGCCAAATGCAATCCCTGCCCTCAGTGTGGAACAAAAACATTTGAACTTGTTATTAGGAGGTAAAGATCTTTCTAAGATATTGATATTCCTTTTCCTTAACATTTATAGGCCTTAGCTTCCTTTTGATTTTAATCTCTGCCATACATACCAACCGCAGATTATCCACTGGAAGCATTTAAATTACACAGGGAGTATATTAAATGTCAGTCAAATTATGCCTGATGACTCTAAAGATAAACTGAACATCCCCAGAAAAGTTCAATTTGCTCACCTCTTCGGTTCTTGCTAGCTTCAGGTGAGCTGCACCTTCGTCTTTGGTGAGAAGAATGCAGTTCCAGGGGGACCACTCCAAGTTCTTGTCCCACCTCACCATCACCAGATCATTGAGATCATTCCAGGCGCTGAGCACCGACTGGGAGGCCCAGATCTTTTCAGTCAGGTACTGAATGTCTTGGAGCTACAGGTATGAAAAATATTTTCTTTTAAGCCTAAAACTTCTTTGAGGTTTTCCTATTAAGATAACAATCACATTGAGCCTTTTAAAAAAGAAGATTTATTTATTTATGCATACAGAACTGGGGTACAGACCAGAGGTACAAGGGGGAAACATTATTCCATGCACACAGCTTTTGATTTTGTGCCAGATCTCTGCTGGTTCTGCCCAAGCAATGTTATCAGCCCCAGGAGCTTGGTTGCATGGTTACCAGGCTGCTGTTGGGTTCTTGTCAAAACCCATTAGTAACTGTCAGCTTAGTCACTGAGTAAGTCATTTTATTTCCATTTTGTAATTGGGGAAATTGAGGTTTAATAAAGATGAAGCAGTTTGCCAAGTGTTATTCTAATGATTGTTATTTTGATGATAAAAGAGGGAAAGGGGGAAAATGAGATAGCTATAAATTTTTTTATTTAAACCATATAAGCTAAAACTTTTCAAGTCACTTTTCATCACAAGGTTTGTATACATAAACCTAGAATTGTCAGAGAGACAAGTTTCACAAAATATCAGCATATAAAAAAGAAACTAGAAGGTTTGGGATAGAGAACAGAAATCAATTTACCACAGGTTAAAAAAAAAAAAGAATTTTTCCCCATCAGTGACAGAAATGGGTAATTCAATATATTTAGCTCAATTAATGTAATCTAGCACTTCCTAAATGCTAGAAGTAGAGACAATGTGAGAGTAGCAGCTGTGGAAAAGAAAACTATGAAATTTTAAATTTTAATTTTTCATATTTTTCCCTTACACTAAAAGGTGTGCCTTTGTTTTTTAATTTGCAAGTAAGTGTCAGATGATAGGTCCAGAGGCATCCTCTGAGAGATGCCCACTTTTCAAGCAGCTGTACTTGAACTTGTTGCAATAACGGGTAAGGCTTGCTTAGGGTGAGGCCTTGTCTGTACAGACTACAGTTCACTAGAAAATCAGTCAAATCTCTAAACAGAGCATTTACATTTTGTGTATTTTTTTAAAGTTTTATTTATGCATACAGAACTGGGGCACAGGCTAGAGGTGCAGAGGGTAAGATGATTCACCAGAGACAGAGGGGGGAGCAGATGAACTGAAATACACTGCTGAGGGGAACAGTGGGGAAACAGGAGAGGTCCACCATGCCATGCGGGTCACCTCCCTGGCCGGGGATAGAACTCAGCGGCTGTGATAGCTTCATAGTGTTGTGTTTTAACCCATGGCATCACCAGGGGGAACCCATATACTGTGTATTTTAACTTTCCTCTTTTTATTTTACATGCCATTATCTTCAAAGCCATTAAATGCCACCTTTACTGTCATCCATGAGCTTTATTATTTCATCAGAAAGTCCACACAAATTATGTACATGGATGATATTGCTGAAATAAATATTAATGAAAATTATACCATTTAAGGGGGGAAGCTACTGCGCAAACATTTTGTCTATAATGGACACCCATTTTGTAGACACTGGACAGTTAGAAAAAAGAGACTAGTACCCTACACAGAATAGTACTCAGGTATAATCACATGTAAGGGGACTTATCTGAAACGTGGCAATGCCCCCCTCAAATTTTTTGTCACCAATAGGTAGGATGGTTAATTTTATGTGTCAACTTGACTGTGTCAGAAGGTGCCCAGAGAGCAAGTCAAACATTATTCTAGTTGTTTCTGTGAGGTTTTGCATGAGATTAACATTTAAATCAGTACAGCAGGTAGAGCAGACTGCCTTGTCTGACATAGCTTGGCCTCATTCTATCTGTTAAAGGCTTGACTAGAACAGTAGGTGAGGCCTCCCCCTAGTGAAGGAGTGATCTTCAGCACTTGTTTTCAAACTGGAATTGACTCTTCCTGGTTCCACAGCAGCTGGCTGTCCTTCAGATTTAGCCTGCATCATTGTTTCTACAGATTTTGAACTTCAGCCTCCATAACCACACGAGTCAAATCCTCATAGTGAATACACATTATAGAGTAAAATATGTATTTGAGTCCTATTTTTTGTTTTTTGTTTTTTCTGGAGAACCCTGACTAATACAATATATGATTTTGAGGGAGTTCTCATAGATGAATTATTGGAAAAGCACTAGAAAAAATCTAAAACTCCTAATAAATTAGTGTACACCTGTTGCATCAATAACTTTTGAAGAAAAGCTTGAGTATGAACTCTACAATAAATATGATTTTTATTAACATAATGTTAACCCTATCAGAAAAAAAATCGATGTATGTTTTAACTAACTGTGGGTTAGTCCCTCTTTTCATTTTTTTTTTTTTACTATTTATTTACTTATTGCATAGAAGAACTGGGGTGTAGACCAGAGGTGGGGTGTGACAGTGATTTACCAGACACAGAGTAAGGAGCCAAACAGATCGATCTACTGAAATACACTGCTGAGGGGAGCAGTGGGCAAGACAGAACAGGTCTGTTGTGCCATGTGAGTCAGCTCCCTGTTCAGAGATTCAAACCGTAATTCAGACAGTACTGGAGACAGTGCTGAGACTGAACCCCTAAACTACCAGGGAGTGCCCCCCCAACCCCTGTACCTCTTTTCAAATGGAAATTAGAATGAGTAGATGAGGTTGAATAGAAAATATCAGTGCATCATTAGCGGTGAGGGTAAACATTTTTTCGTGAAATATTTGCTTGAAGCACAGTCACCAGATTAACCACTTACTCTCCTAAGTCACTTCCTCAAGGAAACCTTTTTCAAATTGCACTAGCACCTGGTTGAATACTTAGACTGCTTAATACCTCCCCTTCATAGCACTATTTATTCCCATAGGAACTAGTAATAATATTATACTAACTTATTTTCTAGGCTGTAAGGTCTTGTGCACTAGTACATCCTCAGACACTGCTTAGTGTGACAAACCAAAGCCATGTCACCAAGCACAGGTCTTGCAAAACTATGTTCAACGGCACTTCATCCCATTCTACCCAAAGCCTCCTTGTCAGAGAGCAGTTCATATCCATAATTAGCAACTCTTACTGATCATACCTGCATCAGGAAAGCAATTTTAGAATCATCTTCATAATTGGCTTCTGAATAGTAGAGCCGTTTCAGTAAACATTTGTACTTCAAAAATGATTCTCGTTGCCTGGCCTCATTGTCGAGACTAACACAGTTACGACACCGGTATATGCGCTGTGAGGTGGAGGTCACAGCAAACTCTGTGGAAGGCAAATAGAGCTGACAACTGTGGCAGAAGTAAATCTTCTTATAAAACGCCATTGGATCCTGAGGGACCTAAATCATTCAAAAAATAAAGAAAAGCACAAAAAGAAAAAGGTATGTAAGCCAATGCAAATATTAGCCAACATAACCACAGGAAGTTAATCTCTTAGATTAAGACAGAAAGTTGGTTCATTTTAAAAGTTGCATTTCTCCTTAACTTATCCTGTAAATGTTTAAATTTCAAGCGATATATAGTCATTTACCCTGAGAAAATATTTAAAACCTTTATTATTCAATGAGCCTTAGATATATGCATGTAATTGAAGCAAAAATTACTATTAGTACAAAGCCAGTTTTGAGGGTGCCGTAGGAATTACAGCCCACTTGTTTCAGGTTTGTGATACAGATGCTAAACGAACTGTGTTCATAGACTTAAAATCTGATTCATTGGGTATTTTTTATTTCAGAACTGTGTACAAAAGATTATAATATTTGACCATAAATTTAAAGATCATTTTTGTTCAATAGGGGTCTAGACAGTTTACAGAGAACATGAATTCATATCATACTTTTGGAAGAGAACAGTGGTAAAAAATGTAGTCTGGTGTTTTATTTATTTATTCATTTATTTTAAAGATTTATTTATTTATTCATATAGAACTGGGGTACAGGCCAGAGATGCGGAGGGTGAGAGGATTCACCAGAGACAGAGTAGGGAGCAGAACAGGCAGATGGAGGAAGTACACTGCTGAGGGGAGCAGCGGGCAGGTCAGGAGAGGTCTGCCATGCCTTGTGGATCACATTCGGGGCTGGCGGGAATCGAACTCATGCTGAAGTGGCTTTAGCTTCTTAATGCTGTATTTAGCCTGCTGCGCCACCAGGGAGGGCCTATTTATTTACTTGTTAAGATTTACTTATTTATGGATATAAGAGCTGTTGTACAGGCCAGAGGTGTGAGGGGTGAGGGGAGTCACCAGAGATAGAGTGGGGAGCAAAACAGGCAGATCAATGAAATACACTGCTGAGGGGAGCAGTGGGCGAGACAGGAGAGGTCTGCCGTGCCATGTGGGCCATCTCCCTGGCCAGGGATAGAACTCAAATTGCAGTGTATGTCAACAGCTTCATCATGCTGAGACTTAACGCCTACACCACCAGGGAGGCCTTGGCCTGGTGTTTTAAAGTGAGTCAAGGTCACCGTGACACAGTGTTCACACCAGCACACAGCACAAGGTCTGTCTGCATTTCTACTCCCTTTGCCCTGCAGATTTTGAGTCTGATGGATCTTCAGAAACAAAATCCTTTCAGTCTAAAGAGCAGGTAAAATTATTTAGTCATAATGGTGGGAAATTTCATATTACTTCAATTCTCCATAATTCTCTATTCCTGCAGATAATGCATTTGTAACAGAAATAAACCATTAAAACAGAAGGAATTAAAAAAAAATCCTTTTAAGAAAAAAAAATAGAGTGAGTAAAGAAAGAGTACCTTGAGGTATCTTACAACTTCAGGATTAAACAGAGGTGTTTTGATGTAATGAAAAAAGAGCGTGGTGATTCTTTTCCGAAGACCTTCAAGGTTATAATGTTTGACTCCTCTCATCATAAGGTCTACTTCTCTGTCAATCAATTCTAGAATTTCCTGAGTCAGTTTGCAGTCATGTTCCTGCATAAAACACAGAAACATTCCATACAGAATTTTAAATATCACCGTCTGCTTTTTAAGTTGCTGCCCAAACAAACCAAAACCTAAATTCCAAAATTAATGAAATAAATGCTGAGAAGTGTACAAATTGATACAACTCCTTAAAAACAGTCATTATCTAGTAGAGTTTAAGAGCTGTATAACCTGAAACCCCAGCAATTCCACTAAGAATTTGAGAGAAAGGTGCAAGTAGAGTATTGTTCACTAAAACCCCAAATTTAGAAACCACCAAATAAGTTGACTGATAAATGATATGTAAGATAAGTGATACACAAAAATTATTTATTACATAAATAATAAAATGTTATCTAGTGCAGAAATGAATGAACAACAGCTCGCTATAATGCCAGGCTTAAATTTTACAAATTAATGCTGAGCAAAAGAAGCAAGACATAAAGCGCACACATGATGTTTGGGTTTTCCCCTTTCACTAGGAATATGGTTAATTCATTGCAGCCACCACAATCAATGCCGTGACATCTCATCTGGATTTCAAAGCAATCAGTCTCACACTGCTGATAGGGTTGGAACTCACAGCTCTCAGCTGAGTCTCTGGACTACTTCAGCTGAAGAATGTTATCTTCGCCAAAAGTTGGCCTCCCTAGTGGCACAAGGGGTTAAAGCGCAGCACTATGAAGCTGGCTGAGCCACTGCAGCACGAGTTCGCTCCCTGGCCAGGGAAGTGACCCACGTGGTGCAGCAGACCACTCCTGTCCCACCCACTGCTCCGCCCAGCAGTGTATTCTGATCAGTCTGCCTGTTCTGCTCCCCGCTCTGTCTCTGGTGAATCTTCTTACCCTGGTATCTCTGGCCTGTACCCCAATTCTTATATGCATAAGTAAATAAATCTTTTATAAAAAATTGTTTCTATCAATGAAGAAGTACTGCCCTGTTGAAGAACATGCTTTCTTCTCAGGGACATAATGAGCCAAATGACTAATGGATGTGGCTATAAGGCCCAGGATCCTATGAGAGTGAGTGTGGTAACAAAAAACAAAGGGCGTCCAGGGTCACACATAGCTCAGAGAGGATCCGCTGGGTTCACAGATTCCTCAGTGCTCACTTCCCTAGGTTGAACTAAAACCTAGGGATGGAGCATGTGGTATTGGCACAGCCCCCCACCCCCCTTTATTTCTGGATCTGTGAGGTAAGAGCATAAGAGCACAGGTGATGGGGAAAACCATGAAGTAATCCTGCTGGAAACCAAGGGAGATGGAAGTAGTAATGGCCCCAGTGATGAGCTAGGGAATTTTTGCTTCTTGTCCCTGCAATTCTAGACTCCCTCAAGTTTAGAAGTCCTAATTCTTGGAAGAAAAATGCTTCTAGCAGAGGGTTTAACAAGAATCCTATTAAACGTCAAGCTACAAATAATGCTTTGCCTCCTCAGCTAAGAGACCTGGGTGCAAGGAAAGTACCACATGCTTTTAGAGATCATTGACCTTGATTTTTTGAAAGCCAGTAGGACCCATGAGGACAGAAATATGTTTGGCACCCAGTAATGGGTATTTCTTGGTAGTTGCTTGCCCAGTTTTGGCAGTAATCAAAGTCAAGTATCCTCAGCCTACACAGCATGTGGTGACCTCTCAAGATGTGAGTCACCCCCAACAGGCAGACCACCTGAATCAATCAAAGTATTAGCTGAGGGTGAAGGAAATAAAACAAACAAACAAACAAAAAGAATAGAGGAAAGACAGAGTATCTCTTGTGACCTTAAGTTCAATGATGATAAAAGGGGCTGTATTTAGCTCTAACTGTGCTTGTATTTTTCCCTGGGTTGGGTGGAGCTTATCTGAGGGCAAAGAAACTGCTTCTAGAAGTTGTAACAGGAAGAGAGTGGGTCCAAGCAGCAGTATGTGTCATGGAGGCTGTGCCCAGGCCTGAAGTGCTCTTCTGCCCCTCCTGGTACATAGTTGACTGACACTCTCAACTGAGCCTCTCCTAGAATTGATTTTGGTAAAGAGATCCGTCATCTGAAGGTACAGATGGCAGCCCTTAGCCAAGAGGTGGCCAATGAGGGAGTAAAAACTCTTGGTCCCTGGGCTCCATTCAGGACAATCAGAAGGGCCTTCCCAAGGTGGCTGAAGTCACTGCTGAGATTCCACCAGTCAGTTCTCCAGCTGCCCTTAGCCACCTTCTCCAACCGCTCAGGGAGTTATGTTCCAATGATCTCCCAGTACAAAAACCCTCAGTCTAGAGTTTGTTTCTTGTGAACTTGCCCTGTGACACCCTCTTCATTGTCATTAAAAGCAGGATTCAAAACACATAAAATCAGTAATTGATGAGGGAAAAAATAGATAAAATTGATATGGCTATAAGACTGCTAGAAATAAAATTCTCATTAAAAAGTATCAAAATATATAGACACTAATTCATTTTATTGAACTGTGTTGAACACTAATCTTATATTATACATTTGCATATATTTGTATTCATTGCAGAGATAAGGACATACTTACATTTAGAATATCTGTTGTATTATATTCTGTTTATGATGTGTCATAAGAGATAATATGGAAACTTTCAAATATTAATGAATAAACATAGCCTCCTAAAAACCACTCAGTGGTGGGGATATTATGATAAAATACACTTGTAGAGATAGGCACCCATACCCTAAACATAAATGATGTCATAATAAACATAATTTATAAACATATAAACATAATTTTACTAATAAACATAAACTTCTTATAAATTGCTATCACACAAATATCAAAACAATATAGTTATAGTAAACAAAATAAAATTAACAATGATAAGCATTTATTCATCTTTATAAGTTACTTAAGAAATGTCTTATATATTTTCATATTCAATCTTTTTTTTTTTAATTTTTTTTTAATTTTTAAAGATTTATTTATTTATTCATATAGAACTGGGGTACAGGCCAGAGATGTGGAGGGTGAGAGGATTCACCAGAGACAGAGTGGGGAGCAGAACAGGCAGATCTACGAAGTACACTGCTGAGGGGAGCAGTGGGCGGGTCAGGAGAGGTCTGCCTCGGCATGTGGACTCCTCCGGGGCAGGCGGGAATCGAACTCATGAGGAAGTGGCTTAAGCTTCGTAGTGCAGCGCTTTAACCCGCTGCGCCACCAGGGAGGGCCCCATATTCAATCTTTTTATTGATAGTGATAGCTCAAAACTAAAAGGAAGCTCACATACCTTCACAGTGTGCTTAAGCGTTAAAAGCACATCCAGTCTCTCATCTTGGGAGATATTTTTCAGCATGATGCATTTATAGATGGTTTGCAGCTCTCTGGCTCTGATGGTGAACTGTGTATCCAACTCAATGATTTTCCCACTAACTGTTCTCCATGTCTTTGGGGCTGAACACTTAAAAATAATATTGCTTATAAATATTGGTTAATTAAAGACTGAAATATAATTTTGTTCCTTTACCAAAAGTTAACTTTAATATCATGTCTTTTATGAATAAAAGTCTCGTTAAAACTTAAGAAAATCAACTGAAAAATGTGTAGACCCTGGAGAAGTAAAACATGTTAGGAAAAAATGGAAAATCTGTTTAGTGTGTAAAACTGTGAGCACTTCTACAGGATGTAGGACTTGCTACCGATTTGTTACAACTGGTGTGCTGAGTGACCTGATGGGTACATGGAAGAACACATTTCCTCTGCAGGAGAAAAAGTATGCTCTTGAGAATGTTTAAAAAAAATTATCTGCACAGCTCAATTATATTGGGTCATATAAATGTGCCTTGCCAGTTGAAAACAACCTGTATGAAGCAATTATGACTGTTCTCAGTGGGTTAGACCGAAAGACAGAGCAGAAAGGGACTCTGAGTTATGGTTTTTGTCCTTTAGAAATAAATCGATGACAAGTTCACAGTGTAATACTGAAGCAACCCTGCTTAGCTTAGTGCTGTGGCCCCGACTCCTGCTGGCCGCTGAGGGTCTCACTTCCTAGTTCCTACTGAGCTTGGTACCTGCAACCCAGCCCAGCTACTAAACAGCGTCAGGGATAGAGTCTAGTTGCTCTGAGGCTCATCTGAGGGTTTCCAGGCTAAGAATTCAGAGAGCTTTATCCAGAGGGGAAATGTGTCCTGGGCAGACTTCAGTGAGAATTGTCTGCTGGTGACTACTTCCGTCCTCGCCTTCTGAGGCTTTCAGAGGAAATGCATCCACTTAGAAATTATACCAGGAAAACTATTTGTTCTTCTGCTTTACAATATAAAGCGGCGTAGTTTCTTTCCCCATAAGAATCTGTCAGAAATCAGGGTACGTAGAGAACAACGATGAACTGTTCAAATGCTGGATCCATAGAATGAGGGTACAGTGGTGGTCAGGGCTTCTCCCAGACCCCCCAGGGTCTGCAACCGGGCCACAGTGTCTAGTGCTAGCAGACAGCAACACCTGTCACCTGCGAATCCTCTGATCTCATTGCCCAGGGCCACACTGATTCTCAGAGCTGAAGTACAAATGCTTAATCAAGGTGGACAATTAATCTGCAGGTGATTTCTTCCACCTGCAGTCAAAGGGGGTCCCAAAAGGCACCTCTCTGAGGAACTCAGAATCCAGGCCAAGCAGGAAAGACAGAAAGAAGAGAGGCCCAGACTGGACTGCTGTCTCCTCCCTCCCCACTGACACTACTACCTTAAATTTAGAGTTCGGGATAAATGTCTTCTGTCCTTAAAAAACAATCAAGAAGCAAGCTCCTCAATTCCCTTATCTAAGTCTCCCCTTTGACCTTTCCTTCCCCTCCCACCCCCCCACCTTTCCTAACCTACAGAGGATTTGGGAACCATCCCCTTTGTGAATGCTGTGAAGTCACCTAGAACTTTGCAGAGCCCACCTATTGGATGGCTTTGAAGGCTGATGGGCAATTATTTTTGACATAATTTAAAACTTAAATAGGAGTCCTATTTATTGCAAAAAAAAATCATTAGGATTGTACACTAGTCAAACAGAGAAATCACATACGGCTGCTCTGGTACAACAGTATGATGGTAGGATAATAGAAACCATCTCAATTTATTTTTTTTTTTGACCATTTACAACATATCAGCCAAATTACATTGAAGACTGCATAGGAACCTCTTAAACAACTACATGTGATCTATTTTTGAACAAATCGCATTATTTCTGGTCAAAGCCAAAATGAATGTTTAGAACTAACAGTCTTCATCAGAAATTTTAGATTCTCAGATCTAGTTTTAATCCAGAAGTGAGAAGCTGCAGCCCTATAATTAATTTATATTTTTAGATTACAAATCTAATATCAAAATGATGTATTAATTAGCAGGTTGATGGAATTAAATAAAAGTTATTAAGGACTATGAAAGGGAAATAGCCCAATTTTAAAATATTTTAATTCAATTATCATCATTTAGAATTTAAAAAAAGTCTTAAATAGATTCAACCCTGTTTGGGGTAGACTTCAGAGTATTATTAAAGCTTAATGCTTGTTTCCAAGCTCTTTTTGAAAAGCTTTAAGGAATTAGTAATCAGGCTAAGTTTCATATTGCAGTATTCTTATATTTTAAAGTCAAACTAATGTCTTAATTTTGCATATAATTTTCCTCAGGGTGACTCTATTTAAATGTTATTTCCTTTCTTTCAATAATAAAGACAATACCTTTTGCTCTGCAGGCTTGTAAGTTATTTCATTTGTAATAATCCAAGCATAATAACGTTCAAATTAAATGCCTAGTTCACTTCATTATGTTTTTTCAGTTCATTGGCTGATTTAACTCTAGGTTCCCTCCAAGGCTTTAGCCCCATCTAATTTAGTAAGCTATAGAAATATATCTTGGATTTTTCCAAATATATTTAACATATTTTTTATTCTTCAGTTTTAACTTAAATCCTACCTTTTCCATAAAGATAACAACTATAGTTTGAAACAATATCATTAGTTTCTGAAATTCTATCCTTGTAAAACAGACATGCACACTTAATCATTCTCCACTGTCATCACTCTTGAAATGAAACTTACATCCAGATCATTCTACAAGTCAGTCTATGCTTATTCTATTGGTTCCTCAAGACTAAAAGAAACTTCTCGTGTAGTTCTATTATCTCATATGGCTGGTCTGTTTTACACATTCATTTATTTGGTCTATTATGTATATTAGTCTGCTTACTAGGTTCCAAGTAGATAAAATACCATCATGATTTCAAGTTCTCTCAAATACAACAGAGCATAAACATGAGGAAACAATTAACCAAAGTGTGATTATGCATATAAAGTTGCTACAAATTTCAAGGAAATACTTAGCTAGTAGAAAAAATAGTACCTAAGATGAAATATGAAGAAAAACTAGGTGTTCATCAGGTTAAATGGAATTGAGTGGTGTAAATACTCCTAGACTGGAAGTTAGAGTTCTGTAGTGTTGGCACTGAGAAGATAGAAAAAAAAAATCTGTTCGATCAAGCTGTTTTTATACTCAGACATATTTCTGCCAACAATGATAACTTGGTCTTCCATTTGGGCTTCTTTGATTTCATGCCTAAAAGTATTTTTACTCTGATGCAAAAAATATGTCAACTTTGCTTATTTCTCTTTGCTTTTTCTTTGAATGCTTTAGCTGGAATAAGAGTGTATGACAATTATGTTCTTAAATTGCTTCAGAAAACAGAAGCGTAACAAATTCCATTTAGCCAACAAATGAGATAGCACAGACTCTAAGGAGTAAAACAGAAGAAGAGCAAGGGGACACACTTCAGGGAGGCGAAGGTGGAGATATAAAAAAAAAAACCTTGACAGCAGCAAGCTTCCACAAAATATGAAGGAGTGTACTGGGAGGGGAGGTTTATTCCCCCTAAATTCATCCTCCAGTCCCTAAAGGTACAATTTAAAAATAATCCTCACTCCCCAAAAGCTACCAGGCAGTGATCAACATGGCAGAGAAGTTTTGCCCACCCATGAAGGACATCCCTGTGCCCCAGTGCTCAGAGAGGGGGGGGAGCTGCTGGTGATTTTTTAGACCATTAAATGCTGGGCACCTGAGTATGGAGGTAAAATATTTAAATGACAGAGCTTGAATGTTTTTTGTGATTTTTTTTTCTGGTGATTGTGAAGAGTGATGTGTCAGAGAGTCAAAGAAATGGGCTTGACTCTAAGGAAAACCATTAACAGAAATTCAAAAATGATCTCTTTTCATAGTGTGGGAAAGGAGCCCCTGAGATATATTAGGCACCAGTTAATGATTTGTATTTGGGCTTCTTGACCTGAATTTGCTCTTCTCTGTTAACTTGTGAGTTTTGAAATTGGATAATCCGTAGCTGCAATGCTTGGTGCATCTAAAGTACAAATAATTAAGTAAATGCTTAAAAAAATCTAAGTTAAGCCTTTTATTGGAATGAAGGCTCAGTATAGAATTTATACTAACTGATTAATTTAATGGGTTAATTGGATTAACTTAAAATCATATCATTCATTATGTAGAGAACTTTTACCATCAGGATAAGATTAACAATCTATTAGTTCAATAAATGACATGACATTTCAAATAAATTAAACTAGGCCCTCCCTGGTGGTGCAGTGAGTTAAAGCACAGCACGGTGCGGCTATCCACAGCCACTGCGGCACAAGTTCAGTTCCCAACCAGGGAGGTGACCCACATGGTGTGGCAGACCTCTCCTGATCTGCCTGCTGCTCCCCTGAGCAGTCTATTTCACTTGATCTGCCTGTTCTAGACCTCAATCTGTCTCTGTCTTTCACCCCCACAATTCTGGCCTGTACATCAGTTCTTATATGCACAAATAAATAAATCATTAAAAATAAAGTAAGTAAGGCCCTCCCTTGTGGTGCAGCGGGTTAAAACACAGAACTGAGAAGCTAAAGCCACTTCCGCATGAGTTCGATTCCCGCCTGCCCCGGAAGAGATCCACATGGCCTGGCAGACCTCTCCTGACCCGCCCGCTGCTCCCCTCAGCAGTGTACTTCCTCCATCTGCCTGTTCTGCTCCCCGCTCTGTCTCTGGGGAATCCTCTCACCCTCCGCATCTCTGGCTGTACCTCAGTTCTGTATGCATAAATGAATAAATCTTTTTTTTTAAAAAAATAAATAAATAAAGTAAGTTAAACAGAACCAAAATACAAACTTTTATTTTCCAAAGTTATTTCCAATGTAAATATTCTCCTTATAGAATTATATGTCATGATATTAAGTTAATTTAAAAATCTATTTATGGTTGTTAGTTTGACATCTGAAAGATCTCCGACCTTGTCTTAGCTTTAGGAATTAATTATAAGTTATTTTTCCTTACCTATCAAAAAAACTGTACAGTAAAAAGTTACTTCAAGTTTTATGAAATCAACACCAATTTCTCCTGAATCTGGCAACCACAGGAAGTGGGCAGGCAAAAGGGGAATAGACATTTCATGAGTATTTACAACAAAAGATGAAATATCAAATCTATCTCAATTATTTTCTAAGTTTAGTATAACAAATGTAAGCAGTGATTAAATTTTGTGTTAGAAAAACTACAACTTCATGACTTGGGTCAAAAATGGCCAAAAGTCACTATTATACAATGTTTTTAAAGATCAAAGGAAAGAGAGTATCTTGGGCCAGGGACTGACCTCAGGGCAGTCACTCCACTCCATTCTGTAGTTGATTTTTGCCCTACACAACCTTTTTGGTTTTGGTCAAAACCCCCTAGTATCAACAAATGTTGGTGAGGATGTTGTGAAAATGAAACTCTCCTACACTGCTGGTGGGAATGCAAACTGGTCCAACCACTATGGAAAACTGTGTGGAGATTTCTCAAACTGCTGAAAATGGAGTTTCCATGTGATCCAGCAATGCCACTCCTAGGGATCTACACAAATGACACAAAAACCTTAATTTAAAAGGAAACCTGCACCCCTTTGTTTATTGCAGGACATTTATAATAGGAGAGACTTGGAAACAAATGCCAAAAACTAGACAACTGGATCAAACAAGATGTGGTAATATACAAATATACACAATGGAATACTATTCAGCAATCAAAAAATTAACTCATGCCATTCACAACAACATGGATGGAGCTAGAAGGGATTATATTCAGTGAGAAGTCAAACGGAAGAAGAAAAATATTGGATGGTTTCACTAATAGGAGGACTATAGAGGGAAAAAACAATAACAATTAAGAAAAACACAACAAAAACAAAACAAAAATAAACAGACAACTATAAGTCAGAGACCTTCTACAGGGAGGGGGAGGCGCAGGGTTTGAAGTGGATATAGTAGAAGCACAAAGGTCTGTGGTGATGGTGCATGGGTGAACTGGTAGTAGGAATTTTATGGGGACTACACCTGAGAAAAGAAAGCAAATACTATTAAAAAAATGAAAAATGAGCAATGATGTAAAATATATATAAATTTTTAAAAAATAATAACCCTTGGCCCTCCCTGGTGGCGCAGTGGGTTAAAGCACTGCACTGAGAAGCTAAAGCCACTTCCTCATGAGTTCGATTCCCGCCTGACCCGGAGGTGACCACATGGTGCGGCAGACCTCTCCTGACCCTCCCGCTGCTCCCCTCAGCAGTGTACTTCGTCGATCTGCCTGTTCTGCTCCCCACTCTCTCTGGTGAAGCTTCTCACCGCCCCTGAGCCTCTGGCCTGTACCCCAGTTCTGTATGTACAAATAAATAAATCTTTAAAATAATAATAATAATAATAACCCTTGTCTCAGCAAATATGTCTAATGAATTAACCAGTTTATCAGCAGGGCTGACAGTGGCTTAGAACTCCAATTGTAAAAAACCTCTGACCCACAAAAAGCCTTTTGCCTTGATTTCTACCAAGTGCTTATGGCCAGCTTTTCTATCCTTCAATCTTCTGGTTTTGAAACTTTGTATTCTGCTGTAAATCATTCTGGCCATTGAAGTAGGCCTGGACATTTTTCTCCTGTCCTCTCCTCTTATAAAAACATAAAATCATCTGGTACTCACTATTTCATGTATTTGGCAATATAACTACAGAAGTTGTGAGAAGCCACACTATGGCCCTCAGCTTCCCAAATGTCTCCTCACCCCACTTGCACACTTTCTCTCCCAGCAACAAAAACTTCCCTTTCCCTTGGACAGATCAATTCTTTCTACACTCAGCATCCTTCAGAGGTCAGATTCAACCCAACAATCAATGTATCAAAGTACTTTTTTTTTTAAAGATTTATTTATTTGTACATACAGAACTGGGGTACAGGCCAGAGGCTCAGGGGTGGCGAGAGGCTTCACCAGAGACAGAGTAGGGAACAGAACAGGCAGATCAATGAAGTACACTGCTGAGGGGAGCAGCGGGCGGGTCAGGAGAGGTCTGCCACGCCATGTGGTCACCTCCGGGGCAGGCGGGAATCGAACTCATGCGGAAGTGAGGTTAGCTTCTCAGTGCAGTGCTTTAACCCGCTGCGCCACCAGGGAGGGCCCTCAAAGTACTTTTTTTAAATCCAGAAGCAAATACCTCATAGGAATTCTTATGAATGAAATTTCCCCCACTTCATGTGTTTACCGTAAGATGTAAACACCTTCTTAGTGCTGTACTTCATGAGAGTGATGCTCATCAAGTGACTCTAGAGTGGCTTTGCAATGTTAAAGTTCCAACACAGAAAACCAAGTTTGGGACACTTTATAATAAAAGAAATGTCTGTAAACAATGCTAGACAGAGGCTGGAGGCACCAGGTGCACTGGGGCTGAGGGTAGGGCACTGTTTTCCCTGTCCAAGGGCAATTCAGAGGCCTTCAGCTTCTTCAAACCCTGCACCCAGATGCAAGCTGTGCTCTTTAGAGGTTAACAATGAGACTCGTAAGGAACACAGTTGCCAGTAATGACGCTGGACTCAAAAATGAAACGACTTGCTAAAGGAGTAAGTCTAGTTCAAAATATGACTTTGCAGAAGTATGAATATATGACTTCCATAATGTTCCATAATATGCAATGCCTCATCTTCCCTAGCAAGAAAAGACTAAAGAATTTGAAATGACAGTATCTACATTGCATAGTTTCTTAGTGATACTGAAATGTAAAAGCACACAAACATTATTTCTGCCCCTATTTCTTCCTCCTTGCCTTCCTCCACAAGCATCTATTGATAAGTGCTGTGTAAAATGAGGAGATTGAATTAAAGGTCACTCTTGCTTTGCAGCTTAGAACCTAAGAAGGGTCAGAAAAGTAAACAGCTACAACAATAATAATAACTGGATACTATGTACTACCTGAGAGATGAAACAACCACTGAGAGGCACAAACTCTGCAGATCTTTTTGGAGAGGAACAGCATATGAACCACTTGTGATAGGTGAGCAGCTGGCCACTGAGGGAGATAGAGAAGGATGTTCCATCTAGATGCAATGCCAGTTGCCTAACACGTGATCTTTTAAGGGGGGGGGGCGTGGTTCGGGTCACTGAGCATGACTGGAGGACTGTGGCTGCAGAAAACAGCGGGCTGGGTGAAGGGTGCATAGAATCAATTACTAAAATCCTTATTCCCTGAGAGCTGCAAATTTAATGAGGTGCTCTGGCAGCAGAGGGAATGGGGAAGTGAGAAAGGAGACCAAGAGTCTGATTTGAAGAGATAAAAGCCAGTGAGCAGAAATCCAGATGCAATTAAATCAGTGAAAAACTCACAGGCAAGAGACAAGCCCTCTTATCAGAAGAGCCTCCCAGGGAAGACAGGGAAGCAAGTGAGGAGAGCTGCTCCCAGTCTCCTCAGAAGCCTCTCCTGTGCTCAACTTCCAGCTGGATCACTAGGCATGCCAGCAAGACCCGGATTCAGCACAGTTCAAGTTTCCTTGCCAGGTCTGCTCGGACGCATGCGTGGTCATCAGTTTGCAGCAGCAGTCATGGCTCTGAAGTTGGTGGCAATTGGTTTGGCAAGGAAGAAGGAAGAATTGAGATGACTAAAGTAATAGAACAAATAGGTTGGTGACTGGATGGGAAGTCAGAAATAATTACCCAGGCTTCTGCCCCAAGCAAGTCAGTAAGTGATGATATTATCTCTCATTTATCAGGCAAATAAATTGAGCACTACAGAATAGGATCAGCCTGGAGGTGGTATTACTAAAGGGTACTACATATCTTTGGCATTGTTATGCTAACTTGAGGTATATGCCAGGATCATGTAGAGACAAAGACAGTTGGTAATGGATAGGGGATTGGGAAGTTCCTAAGAGAGGTATGGCTGGAACTGTGAGGGGAGCAGACAGTAAAGCCACAGAAAAAATAGATCAGAGTATATAAGTATGAGGACATGAGAGAGCATTTAGAGTAGCAAACATATGATTTTTAAGAGCACAATTTCTTCAAATACAAGAATCCTACAACTAGGATTCCAACAGGCAAAAACCCCATCTCCTTTCTTATGCCAGGATTGACTTTTAACAGTTTAGAAAAATCAGGGTAATGACCTCAGTGTTACCCTTAATTGTACATCTTTCATAATCATATATCCTTTTGGTCAGAAATTTCCAATCAGTTCATGAACTTATGGACAAAAGTAAATTCTCTCTGTGTATAGCTGCTTGGCCCAGGATATTACTAGAGGTCACCATAGACCCCGACATTTTGTGACTTTGAGCGTAATTCAACAGGCAGCCCAAGTCTCAATGAACAGAGTCACAAAGAAGCTGCCTCCATTTTTCTTCCCTTGTGACCAAATCCTGCTAGCTAATAACAAGTTAAGACCATCTTACTAGCCAATAATTATTCCAGACTACAGTAAAAATCTAAAGTTGTAGCTGATAAAAGTACATAGATATGGAATTTTTAAAAATAAGCCACACCAAAATGATAAAATTGCTACAGATTCTTACGTCTTTTCTCTAGTTCATTAGTCTACATTTTTAGCTCAGGATATATTCACATTTAAGTAATTGCTACTTTACTAACCTTATCCAGAAAAGCCTGTATTGCTGCCTCCTGGTTGGCCATATTAGCATTGTACCTGTGTCTCCCAATGGAAGCAATTAGCTGGGTCTCTTTTTCCAGAAGGTCACACAAACGCGCTTTCCTTTCAGCTCCCGTGTAACATTGGTTAATGCATGCAAGTTCCTCTTGCCGCCATACTAAAAAAGCAACATGAAAACCTCTTGAATTTTTAAAGTTGTGTATTCTTACAGACCATTTCTTTACCATCACATCTTAACAAAAAGTATTTTAATTTTGCATCAATGGCAATAAATTTATACATGAATAAAATCACTGATTTGTACATCTAATAATTTTTAAGGGGTGAAATCAAACCAGAGGAAATCAGTACAATAATGTAAAATGATAGCCCCAAGTAAGCACACACATGGCTTAGGTTTTGTGGCGGCCGTGAATAAGAAGTGCTCAGATCTCCCTTCAAGAGAGTACGTGTTGAGAGGAAGACTAGTAACTACTCTAGCAGTTAAATTCATTTCCTTAAATTGACACCATTTTGCTTTTATTACCAAGAGACTCGCTTTGTGGGGGGTAAAGTTAAACTTGGCATTAGCTGTAGTTCAAACTATGCAATTGTCACTATGAGCCACAAGAGGGCAGCTGTTTCAAAGACGATTGTTAAGAATAGAAAACAGAAGAGCAGAATAAATGCTGTGCTTGTGAACAAGAAACTTTAATTACAACAAACCATAATTTTAAAAATGTTTCCCTGAGGGCTTTCAATTTAGAATTTTTTGGATAAGTCTAAAACTAAGCAGTGTCTTTGTGTAAGAAATTTCATTTTCTTCCATACAAAATATGCAGATATATAAAACCTGTCCTACTTTGACTTAGAAAAATACATATACTATTATTTTCTATCTAACACTAACTTGTGTATACATAAATTTCTGTACTATTTAAACACTTTCATCAATTTAATATTTTGTATTTTTCACTTTTTAATGTCCTCTGAAATAAATGAAACAGAAACCATCACCCTTTTACAGATGAATAAATTGAGACTTAGTAGAAAAAGTAATTTTTCCAAGTTAATACCACTAATACAGCAGGTGTTCATTCAGCATACGTCATATTATTTGGCATAGCTGCCTTTTAATCAAACAAAAGAACAATGGTATTCTTTGGTTTATTTATATGTGAATTTAGAATATTATTCAAACAGAGTTCCCTATAATAAAAGTTTACCTTTCTGCTTTTCAACAAGACCTTTCAAAGATACTTTGCTAACAGTGTTCTCTTAGTGACACTGAGAAATAACCTTTAATTTCAAATGACAGAGGAAAATAGAAATAGTAAAATTTAAAATAAGACAGGAAACTATTTGCAGAGGTAAACGATTAAAGAAAAGGAAAGCAAACTTCCAAATCTAGGGAACAGGCTTATCTATTACCTCAAGCACTGCTACATTCCTGAAGAGTTAAATTTATCAATATTAATGTTAATTTTTTTTAACTTTGAAGCTATTTTTAATCTTTAAAAGTCTCTTATAACATCGTAAGAATCCAACTTTTCTACTTTCTGGCTCCTAAGTAAGAAATAGCTCTTCTGTTCCAGTCACCTCTACTCTAGCTGGTACTCCAGGGAAAGCAGAAGCTGGAGGTAAACAGCTGCTTCATTCTTCATTCATCCTTCCCTGTACTGTGTATGTAAACTAGCCACAGAAAAAGAGGCCACCACAAAAAAAAAAAAAAAAAAAGTGAGTTATTCTCTCAAGGAAATTATAATCATGATGGAAGTTAAAAAAAAAAAAGCTGTATTCTTATAACTGATAGTAGTATGAAAAGAAGTCTGTTTGAGGTACAATAAAAACCATGAATTGAGAATCAGATACCCTAGTTGTTACTTATAAATGGCTTTGAGGCCTTGACAGGCAGGGGCTGGGATGTGAGCTTCAGGGAAAGGCTTCAGGAACAGTGTGTCCGCTGCCTGAGTAAGGAAGGCTTGACCTGTTCAAGTAACAGAAACTTTTGATTGTGTTGGTGAACAGCACACATCCTCTGGCTGAAATAAGCTGTGAAAGTCAAATGTGTTGAGAATTTATATTTATCTGCTATTATTATTAATGGAAAGGAATGAAAGGTATCTCCGCCTCTAAAGAGATAGGATGCTGGGTTAAAGGGTTTGAGACAATTCAGCTCTGAGTCCACAAATTCTCACAGAGATGAGGATCAAATTATAAAAAACTGGCCCTCCCTGGTGGCGCAGCGGGTTAAAGCACAACACTGAGAAACTAAAGCCACTTCCGCATGAGTTTGATTCCCGCCTGCCCCAGAGGTGACTACATGGCTCGGCAGACCTCTCCTGGCCCGCCCGCTGCTCCCCTCAGCAGTGTACTTCATCCATCTGCCTGTTCTGCTCCCCATTCTGTCTCTGGTGAAGCCTCTCGCCGCCCCTGAGCCTCTGGCCTGTACCTCAGTTCTGTATGCACAAATAAATCTTTAAAAAAAAATTATAATAAACTAGTTGCATAATTCATAGAGCAAAAAGCACATTTACCAACCCAATTAATATTAAAGTATTTCCGATTCATTCCAGCCTTAATTTTTGTTCCAATTTTAAATTTTATTCATGGTTTTAAATTCTAGTCCGGATTCCCATGACATTTTTCTAAAATAGTATCTTCTTACTAATGAAATATTTAAAAATAATATCCGATGTGAACCTTATTTTAAACTTACATTCTAGTGCATTAAAAAGAAGTTCAAAATCTTCTTTTGTTTGAGGATGATGCCTCCGGTAATAGTCCAATTGCATCAATTTTTCTTTTTCCCTTATTTTTCTCTCCTCTTCCTCTGCTTCCCATTTCAACCTTAGCAACTTTTGTCGTCTTATATTCTCTACCACGCCTTTAGCATGCCATTGCCTATAGTAAGTCTGTATTATTATTACCTATGGTTTAATGAAAAGGAAATAAAATGTCTATTGTCAACACTATCAGACAGTAATGAAAGGCAATAATGATTATTCCTATTTCAATTCAATAGCTACTAAAACAAATTGTGAATCTAGTTTAAACTCTATGCCAGATATCCCTGTATACATTATAAAATAGAAACTAGTTGGCTCAGAAATCTGGCACTTTGGTCGGAGGCCGTCAACATAATACATCAGCAGTAGGCTCTGGAGTAAAACTCAGTTTAAATCTTTTCTCTGCTATTCACTAAGTGGTTGATTTGGGGTAAGTAAATTGCCTTCTTTGCGCTTTAATGCTCTTATCTGTAACACAGTGAAAATAACAGTGTCCTTTAAAATATGAATGCATATATGAAAATTTAAATATGCATATAAGTTCATATAAAATGCTTAGCTCAAGTCTGGTACATTACAAATCCTCAATAAATACTACTGTCGCTATGAATATTATTAGTGACCTCTCGTCTATTGTAATTGCCATTAGATTAGGTTTTATTTAAAACAAAACTATTTTCTACAGAAAGTAGGATTTGAATCACCAAAGTCAAGTTAAGTAAGAGGAAGATATAAGTAAGTAAGTGAAAAGTATGGATATTGCCAAGTGTACAGTGTAGTGCTAGATTCTCAAAAAGCTTGCAATTCAGCTGAGTTTTCATTTACTAAACTCAAAAATAAAAATGAAATGTAGAGCAGATGGATCAAGATAGAGGATGGAAAATACGCTGACAATTCTCTTTCCCTCACCCTAGTCTGTGATCATTACAGAAACGTATAAAAACAGAAATCTGAAAAGACATTGGATTATACTGAAGGAGTCCTGTGAAGGAATAGAAACTTTGAAGACCCCTCAGGAAAGAAGACAACTGTGGTGATTTGAAGAACGAATCTATAACTTAATCACCAGAGAGGTAAGCTAGAAAATACAAGTGTTCTAAGGCTGTTTCAAGCCCCAAACTAGTGCATAAATGATGCTGAGTCCTGACAGGGTAGGAGAAATGAGAAAGAAAAAAAAAGAGGAAAAGAAGGAGGGGAAGGAGGAGAAGGAGGAAAAGAGCAAATACAAAGAGAAAAGCAAAGAAAGGCCTAATAAGGTCTTGTAAGACTGAACTTTAACCTGTAGCTCCATTTGAAGGACACCTGACACTTCTGCGTTTATTCAGAAGCTAATATGACTTAAGAAACACATACAGGGCTCTCCCTGGTGACAGAGTGGGTTAAAGCACAGCACTAAGAAGCTAAAGCCACTTCAGTAGATCCCGCCCTGGAGGTGACCCACAGGTGTGGCAGACCTCTCCTGACTCGCCCGCTGCTCCCCTCAGCAGTGTACTTCGTCAGTCTGCCTGTTCTGTGCACTGTCTCTGGTGAATTTTGTCACCGCCCCTGCACTTCTGGCCTATACATTTATTTATGTATGCATACATAAATAAATCTTTTAAAAAAATAAAAGAAAAAAAAAGAAACACAAGTGCACACTGATTCACAGTTAATTTTCAGTATTCACCCACAATAAAAGTCATCTTACTGCCTCCAATCTTTGAGCATGATATTCTTCTGCTGAAATATATTTTCCTGGTGTTACCAATTTATCAGTCATATTTGATACATACACACCAATTTTAGTCATCTGTGTCGATGTGTTATTTGTAGTTTGCTGGAGCTTTTTCTTCTGAAAGACTGTCTAAAATAAAAATAAAAAATGCATCAACTATATGCACATATTAGTGTGTAAAAAGCATATCTTCCCAATGCATTTATCATTTTAATTGCCATATAATTTCCTAGAAGATTTTAACTTCAGGGGTATGTGGTACAACATTTGTTGTTTCTGCAGCTTCAAAAACTGTGTAAAAAAGTATAAAATAGTACCTGGGTATCCCTACTAAATACATTGTTTTTTTGGTGAGTCTTTTTAGGTACAGTTTGTGTTCCAGCATTATGATATTCTGCTCCTGTTATTTTGTGTCTGAATCCACCAAGAAATGGTTTGTGAAAGTCAGATTTTATAATCTCAACAGCTACCTCCTGGTACTCATCAGTGCCTGAGAAGATTAAGTCAAGATTGAATTTGATTACAAACGTACTCTAAACTACTTTATCTAAAAGACACCAGGTCACTAACCAGTTTGTATTTTGACAGTTATAATTTGAGAGTCTTCATTTAATCCATGGATTCTTCTTATCGGAAATAGATCTGGCTGTGTAGAAAAAATTTCCACCTGTACAATATCCTGTGGCTTAACTCCATATTGTAGGAGGGTCTCATTATTTTTAAGAATAATTCCTAAAAATCAGATGAAATTATGAGAGTTAGAACTGAGAAACAATCATATGTACTCATTTGAAGGGATAGAAAACTTTCAAAGACCTATAAAAACTTGTAGCTTCATTACCAGAGTATTTATGTTCTCTAGCTCTTAATGTAATAATAATACAAAAAGCTGAACAATTAAAAAGGTGGTATAACTGGGACAGAAGTGCCATTACAAAGAAAACTAAAATGCTCAATTCTTCCAAAAGTTAAAAACACACAATTCTAGAAATATTTCAAAATTAAGCATATTCTACAATATGTACAAAACCATATCCTAACCACTGGCTACCTAAAAATAATTCGTAATATATTATATGTAAGCACAGGACATATCCAGATCAAAGAAAGTCTAATTATTTTATATCCTCCCTTCTCACTAGGGCAGAGAAATAAAATTCAATTCCAGAAAGCCCTTCTTTTTCTGCTTCCATTACCAGAAGCCCCTATATATTGATATAATTCACACCAAGGTAGAGAAAAGCCTCAGTTTTGTGCTAGAAAAATTGTCTTTATTTATTTTTATTGCACTGATTCAACTTCTTTCTTATATGTCCTATTTCCTCTCACTCCTACTGGTTTACTCTATAAATTGACTAATTTCAATTCTCTACTTTAAGGTATACAAAAACAGTATAGTGTTGCTGGCTTCTGGGCATGTCATGGATATTTTGTTGATAGAATATTTATCAACCTTCCAGTGTATTCTCTTCCTAAGTTAGAATTATGAATTTCAACATAGCAAAGTTTTGTTATACTCACTCATAGAAATATAGCTTCAGTTCTTTACAAAGTATTTGAATATATCCTTAATAAAATATGTTAAATTAACAAGTTCATACAATATATGTTCCAAGTGTCAAAATATTTAGTTTTTGAATTCAAACATTTTTATTGCTTCCATCTTAAAACTAAGGTGGCACTGATATATTTAATCAGCCTCCGACCTTACCTGCATGTCTTAGCTGTAGAGCATAAGGTGGGACATTTAATAGATGTGAAAATTTTTCCTTCAGGTATTTAAAAATAGTATCAAGTTTAAATGGGAATATGATTTCCTGGCCCACAGGAATAAGTACAACTTTTACTGTAGAGTGAAAAAAAAAGTGTCATAATCCAAAGCAAGTCAGCAAACTACAGTCTATAAACAGACACAGAATAAGAGGAGAATCTTTGTCACATAGGATTTAGGCTGATTCTGCCACCCTAGCACATCCCCTTGATAAGAGCTATGTTTAATTTTCTATGGGAGGGGACCAACGTTCAATTACAACCTATTCCCTAAAAAATAAATCCAGGAACTCAAGAATGAGCATCAGCGAGCTTACAGCACCCACTCCCTCATCCTGCTCCAAGTTCAGATCTCTCTTTCATTCCTTCCTGTGAGCCCTGGTGCACATTAAATTCAGGATTATGACTTCCTTGGCAGAATACCATAGCAAGGAGGAAATAAAATTAAACTGCTTTCAAGAGTTCTTTGTATGTGGTCTATATTACTCAGATACCAGCATAAGAAATGTCTCAGAAAAAATCAAGCATTTTTGTGTAAGAAAGGGAGACCCTGAGAAAGGACCTCACACTTGAGCTTAGAAATGTGCATGCTTTGATTACATGAGCTATCACACATTGGGAAATGAATACATTCAGGACATGAAGAAAAAACAGTATAGAAACTTTTAAGGAAAACTCTCTTTGACCTTGCAGTTATAAAAGATATCTCATGGTAAATCCTTTCTTCTTCCCATAATTAGTTAATGTCTATAGTTGGTGAAATGCAAAAACAGCAAACTACCATTACTACAAATATCTGGAATGTACACAAAATTAATCTCAAAAATTAACATTGTATGGGTTTCTCTTCACTCTATAAAACAGGAAATAGGTGCTTCAATTTTAAAAATAAAGAAATGCTGCTATTCTGAAATGATTATCTGTTCACAAAAATAGGAAAGAAATAAGAGTTCTTAGGAACTAATTATTATGGGGTAGGAAACTTTTTTTTTTTGAATATGTAGACTTTAAATTTTAATGGAGAAGCTGTACTAAGTAAGATGGATTGTGCAGTATGTATATACTTGAGGCCATTCAAGTGTGTATTTCTAAATGCCTGACATGAAAGTTCCTAAGTTTAAGTAAGATACTTATCAATAGTCCCATGATGAAATTTAACTAGATTTTGTTGATACTCAGGTTCTTTAAATTGCTTTAAAACTTATTTTCACAGTTCTCTGAGAAACACAGTCCTCAACAAAGAGAACACTTGCACAGATGTTAAATTATCAGAAGATCATTTAAATTGCTTTATGGTTCAAAATGCCATGGATAATATATTTAAATTTTTCACAGCACTAACTCCCTAATCTTTAGAGAGGGGAGGTGTGTGTTAAAGAATCTGTGAGCTTCAGGAGTACAGGACCAAGATATTTTTAAAATCATTTTTTTTATGAGCCACAATATAAAGGAATGATAAAAATATCCAACAATGGAGCCCAAATGTACTTAGTAATAAAATTAAGCATTTCCAGCTTCTACCAAGGTAACTGGGCCTAATTAAGTTCTTCCTTTTCATTCTTTAATTGTATGGCTACATCACACCAGGACTAATTATCCCACTGAATTCAAGATGGACTTGAATTCAAGATGTACTGAATTCAAGATGTATACCAGCCAAAATAAGTTGCTGCTGTTGTTAAATGATGATCCTTGCTTTCCAGCCTATGTATGGAAATGCTCTCAATACTAATGGGCAAGGAGGAGAAGGAGAAGTCAGCTAACCATGCAAGCAGAATGGTTCTCTGTGTAATCCCTGTCACCTTCTGCTTCATTATCAACAATGTAGGATTGACTCCTAGGTGCCATCAATGGATGCATGTACTTAAGTATGTACTTAAAATGAACTATAACGACATACATCTGTCCAACATTCATAAACATGTTTAAAACCACCTGTCTTTTGGGGGAAACTGATAAATACTACATTAAAATGTAATAATGTTCACTTATTTAGGTAGAGGAGATGCTAGAGAACCGAGCTACTTCACACATAGTTAAGAGATTTGAGTAGTGTGATTATAGAAGTTTAGTGATGAGAAAAAGGGAAAATAATGACAATAAATCTGCAAGTGAAAATGAATAAGAGAACACAACCATTTTTAAGATGAGGAAAAGAAATATCCTATATCTTTCCAAGCCAATACCTGTTGCTACAGAATCTCTCATTGTTGCTTTCAAAGATGCTTTTAGAGACTTTATTTCACCCATAACTGGCATAGTCACACCAGAATCTGAATACTTTTTCTCTGACTGTGATATACTTTCATATTCTGCTCCATATGGATTTTGATAAGATGGCAGGGTATCAGAACCTTCATAGGATAACAATGCAGACTGGTCGTATTGTCTTTCATCATGTGAGTATAGGCTTGACTCTGTCTGCCCTCTGACCTCCTCAACATTTGTTCCATGGCCCATGCCGGAGGGTTGCACTCCAAACTCATTGTCTCCAGCTTGATCTAACTCTGGAGTCTCTACTGAGGAAACTGGGATATTGATAGACTCATATGATTTATCATTTTCTTCTGATGCATGAACTACATTCTGAGCATTAACATTTTCCTCCTGATCAGACATATTCCTGAATTGAGAAAAATGAACACATTTACTACATACACAAAAAATTCTACAAGCATAAAATGCATTGCTAATATAATATTCATAATAGCTTACCTTATTGGTAATTGATTTTTCAATGTAGATTATCTTTGTAATGCTACCAGGGAAAAATACCTGTTGAATATCAGCAAAATCACCACAGAAAGTAAATATGTATATGAAAAACAAAACCTCAAACCATCGCAAATTTGAGAGAAATGATCTGTGAAGAAAACACTGAAAAATACTTTTAAATACAGTTCTATTTCTTCCTCATTCACTGACAAGTGTCTTATGATGGAGGGCTTTTTTTAAAAAGATTTATTTATTTATGCATACAGAACTAGGGTACAGGCCAGAGATGCAGGGGTGGTGAGAGGCTTCATCAGAGACAGAATGGGGAGCAGAGTAGGAAGACTAACAAGCACACTGCTGAGAGGAGTAGCAGGAGAGACAGGAGAGATCTGCTGAGCCATGTCGGTCACCCCCGGGGCCGGGAATCAAACTCACGGCAGTGGCTGAGGCCATCTTGCAGTGCTGAGTCCTAGCCCATTGTGCCACCAGGGAGGGCCTGTGATGGAGGGATTTTTGAGTGACTTGTTTTCTTCCTAAATATACAAGTGATAGGATTTATGCTCTGGCATTACAAATGATCAGCCAGCTATAGAGCATATTCCCAGGACAGAACACACATGTGGAAATATCTGTAGTCTCCCTAATTATGGCAAGGGTCTCCAAGGACTTCTGCCACCAAAATAAACATTAACAAGCATATGAGGGTTGATCTAGGAGAGGACTAGACTCTGACTAATAGCAACCAAGAGTTTGGGTATGGGAGATGGTGTGACAGCTTCACGGGACTTAGATTGTGGTGGCCCAGAGCAGAGAGAGAGAGGATCTGGATCAGTACAATAAGGTGCAGGCAGAGCAGAGTCCAGGCTGGCAGGCAGGAAGTGGTGGAGGGAAAGGGAAGTGATCCTGAGACCAGATTTCTGTGGCAATGCAAGGGAAGATTTAACCTTGATGCAGTACTGAAGTGAAAACATTGTATTTCTTTCTTCCACTTTAAGGAGAAATCCTTATGGAGAAAAAAAAAATAATCTTAATGAGGTTTCCTAGCTATTAGATGACAAACTTCCTCCCCCCCAAAATGAAAAATAGGAAATAAAATTACATTATTTAATTCAATCTGCTCAATAAATTTTCAGTATTCAAGGCAGTTAAAGAAAGAATTAATAAACTGGAAGATTAACAACTTTTATATAGAATACTACAAAGAGATAAGTATATGAAAATATGAATGATTAAGAGCCACACAGAAGAAAAAAGACTAGTATATTTTCTGCTAAGCATATATATTTCGCTGTGAGCTAAGAATGGACTTGTATTATAAAAAAAAAAAAAAAGATTGCACATGGACTGTGAAACTGTTTCAGAAAAAGTTTGCCAGCCCATAATCTATTACATATCAAATTAGAATCCCAGAAGAGATTAAAAATATGGAGAAGAGAAAATATTTTAAAATATAATGGCTGAGGATTTCTCAAAATTGATGAAAAAATGGATTCACAGATGCAGGAAGCATGGCATAAATGTATTACTAGTAGGAAAAATAAAAATAACTCATAGCAATATATATCGTAATGAAATTACAGAATAGTAAAGACAAAGGTAATGTACTAAAGGAAAGTACTGATAAAGGATATGTGTACATTTTTAATTATATTAATTTGATGATATTAGTTATTATTAATCAGAAAGAAAAAATAAAATCACTATAGACATCACAGCAACAGAAAAAAAAAAGGCCTAGAGTTTAAAGACCCCATTCCACAGCTAATCATAAAGAAGTCCTGACTCCTCGGAACATTTTATCTGCCCTTTTTGGAGGGCAATGTTGAATTTTTACCTAGAGGTCATCCTTCTCTCCAAAATGTCCAAGATGGCATCTTCTAAAACACCAGTAGCAACAAAATCAAGAATTTCTGTTCATCAAGAAGAAAACTAAAAAAGATGTTTTTTAAACTCCTATCTGATAAAGTACTTGTCTCTAGAATACATCGAAGACTCTTAAAAACTGAGTTAGTAAAAAAAAAAGTAAATGTGTAAAAGATTTAAACAGACACATCGCCAAAACATGTACAGCAAGTTCTTCTCACTTAAAGTCACTGATCAGTTCTTAAAACAGATAACATTAGGCCCTCCCTGGTGGCAAGGCGGGTTAAAGCACAGCACTAAGAAGCTAAAGTCACTTCCGCATGAGTTTGATTCCCGCCTGCCCCGAGGAGATCCACATGGCACGACAGACCTCTCCTGACCCGCCCGCTGCTCCCCTCAGCAGTGTACTTCGTTGATCTGCCTGTTCTGCTCCCCACTCTGTCTCTGGTGAATCCTCTCACCCTCCGCATCTCTGGCCTGTACCCCAGTTCTGTATGAAAAAAATAAATCTTTAAAAAAAAAAAAAAAAGGTGACATTAAATAAAAGGACACAGAACAGATTTCAACTTCAGACAGGTTTGCTTTCTTCTCCCCAACCTATAAAATGACATTATTCGAAGGCAAATAAACAGAACCATTACAAGGCTGAGGTGAGAGCAGCACTTGTACGGCCCTACAATAAACGCCTGACAATAAACGCCTCCTGAAAAATTTGGACCTAGTTGTCTCGTTTACGTCCCCCTAATCCTGGTCCTGAGGACCAATACATGAAAAGATGCTCACTGTCATTATTCACTAGAGAATGCAACGCCAAGTCACGAGATCACATTCCACGCTGAATCGAATAGAGTATTTATATTGTCATTAATTCAACATATCAGGTGCCAGGGAGTGTGAAGACAACTGGGCTCTTAAACCTTGAAGATGGAAATGAAAATTGTTACCCCATTTGGGATAACTGTCAGTTTTCTTATAGAATTAAAAATATACTTTATACCCAAGTAACCTATGTCCTTTACCCAACTGAATGAAAACCTGCATGCACACAATAGTTGTGGACAAAAATTTGTGAAGATTTTATTCTTAATCACCAAACACAGGAAATAACACAAATATTTCTTAGGTAAGGGTTGGATACATGATGATACAACTGTAAAATGGAATATTACTCATCGATAAAAGTGAATAAGCTATATAGCTATACCGAACAACATGCATAAATCTCATAGGAATTAATCTGAAGTCAGTTCTAAAGGCTCCATATTACATGATTCAGTCGAGTGAAAGAGCAAAACATTTTCATTTAATCGGAAACCCGGAGAGTTCCCCTGGGTTAAAGTGGAAACTGTTCACCCTCTGCCTGCAATGCAGGGAGCAAGGGCAGATGGAGGGAAAAGGCAGACCATTCCAGATTGGGAAGTTTTGCATTGGTTTTAAAGTAAAGGTGGAACATTCCCAACGGGTCAAGCAGTACCCAGAGCCCAGACCAGATCAGCATCAAGCACAATCCTCGTGGTCCAACGTCACCAGCTCAAGGGCGGAAAAGGGCCAGGGCAAGCAGAACCTGGCCTCCTACCTGACTAGGAAACGCAGCTATTCCACGAAAGCGCTTTTTCAGGATCCTAAGAGCAGCGTCCTCACTGACTTGGATTCTGTTGCTGACTGTATCCTAGCGACCGCGCCGCGCCCCTCCCAACACGCCTCCCAGGGCCGAGCTCCCGCGAGAAGAGCAGACGGCGCACTGAAGGGGGTGGAGCGAGGCGTCGAGGAGGCGGGGCGAAGGAATGAGGCCGGGAGAGGGGCGGGGCGAAGGCGAGAAGGTGAGTGCTCAGTTAACCGAATCCTCACGTGGAACGCTAACCAAGGGCAACCATTTTCCAGTCTAAACAGATAGCAATTCACTTTTAAAACGAAAAACTCCCGGGAGTAGAGGAAATACGAATATGTAGTGAGAGCGAAGGCATTAACAAAGAGCAGTGTATAGCAGTACATGCTTTTTGAAAAACTTTGGACTTTGGTCTTTGCTTCCTGGCAACCAGAGAGGAAGGGAGATGAAAGCTATTAAATAATTTCCCTTTTATGTCAGGAGGCTTTTGTTCATTTCTCCTATCACTATAAACTCTTCCAACTGAGATTTTCAAAGAAGCATATTATTAGGGGGAGAATTAGGTTCCTGTTGCAAAAGTAGTATAGTTCGTATCACTTCCAAATAGCTAAGCATTTACTAAGTATCAATTGTTGCTATTCACTTACATAAATTCCTAATCTAATCCCTGTGGTTTAAAAAAAACTGTGATTACCTATATTTTACTGAGGAAATAAGGGTCAGAGAGGTTTAATGGCAAGATCCAGGATTAAACCCAGTCTGGCTCCAGTCTTGATTTTAAACCAGTTTTATGCTATACTTTACACCAACTTTAAAAGGACATATCATTAATAAAATTAAAATGTTTTAATTTTAATGTTATTTTAACATCCTAAATTTCAATGTTTTTTAAAAAATAATTTATTTATGCATAAAGAACTGGGGTACAGGCCGGAGGTGTAGGGGTGGAAAGAGGATTCGCCAGACAGATCCGAGAGCAGAACAGGCAGACTGAAGAAATACAATGCTGAGGGGTATAGCAGGCCAGAGAGGAGAAGTCTGCTGCACCCCTGAGCCTCTGGCCTGTACCCCAGTTCTGTATGCACAAATAAATAAATCTTAAAAAAAAAAAACCAAACGTACATATTGTTTTTCATAGGGAAGTATGAAGTTTAGGAATAGAGACAGATGGGAGAAGAAAACTTGGTAGTAAAGAACTTGAAGTAGTTCACAGTGTTAAATGTGATGTGATACTCACTCTATGTTCTTATTTATATTTTGCTGTGGAAATCTTACACCAGTCAATCTTACATTAGAAGTCTAGTTTAATTGGGAGGTTTTCCAGTTAATCTATGCAGTTTAGAAAGACTACTAGCACATCAAAACATGCACACATGCACAAATATAGTTGTTTGGTCATATAAAATAAATGCAATCCAAGAACAACCAAGAAGAATAAACTTGATTTTCAAAGTGGAAAAGTAATTTTATAATATTTTTCTATTTTACCTTTTACAATAAAATTATGCATTTTCTTAGAAGGTACTACCCAAAATGACTGTTTTCTTCTACCTTTATTTCTTTATTCTACATATATCTTTACTATTTAGGTTTTTATATACTTTTGTTAATGTCTTATTTTTAGAAAGATGCCACCTAGTGGGGTTATGAAATCATTTATTTCAAAGTTTTCCCCATTGTTATTGCAAATTAAAATGTATTTTGATATAAAGGAATGCATTAGAAATTCAAATTTAGAAAAACATGGGCCTAAAATTATACGTTAGATAGTATCTATATGGATAAAATTTGGATTATAATACAAATTGAGCTTTTTAATAGCCTGGAAATACAAATTGATTACTCCTTTTCTGAAACCATAACTAACAAACGTGTTTGAAATTCAGGATCATACTAAACTATATAGTGAACTACTTCTGTTCATTCCTGTTTATAAGTGCTTTGATAGAAAAGTCAAAAAAATAAGATCCAGGTTCTCTTGGAGCAGCCTACAGAGTAGAGGTAGTAGTGACAGGATCCCCAAAATTTTCATGAAGAATAACATAAGGTTAGATGCATGAGCTCTGGACAAGATTGTCTAGGTTCAAATTTTACTAGCTGTGTGACTTTGGGCATATTATTTTACCATCTCTGTACTTTAGTTAGCTGATCCAGAGTCCCACATTGAACAATTACAGGTACGAACTACTCACACTAGATTCTAGCTTCCTAAGCTGAAAAATGGAGATAATTTGTAGTATTTCATTCTTAAGAGGTACAGTGCAGATTTAAAGAACAAAGTTAGTCAAGTACTTACAACAGTTCCTAACTAACATTAACACTTGTTATTACTGTATTGCTTCTACGATGACCACTAAGTTACAACTAGCATCTCTAATGCAAATACCGATAAGGTCTTTACTAACAGCCAGTTTTGTTGGTGACATATGAGATGCCCAAGAATCATGAGAAGCGGTGTTGAAAGTATGAGGAGATACCTCAAGCCTTCTTTCTATTTTTAAGTGCCCCCCCAAAATGATTTAAAAATTACCTTGAAAGTATTTATGCAAATATGCTTGACAATCAAATATTTTTACTCAAGTAAAAATACCCAAAGTATCATATATTAAAGCAGATGTTTAGAACTATAAGGGAAAGTATATATCCTACTTCTTCTAGAGCAGGAAGTAGGCTATTCTATAAGATCAACAACTTTCTTCACCTTAGTCACTGTGTTTACTATGGTGTGTGACATGAAAATTTGACTCACCCTCTAGTGCTTTTCCCACTTTCCCCTCAGGAGCTTTCCTGCAGTGTGACTGCTAAAAGGCAAATCAATAGACTTTAATATTTAGTTAGCATTTCATTTACTGCTCTACAGGAGGAGAAACATATTAGAAAAAAGAAAATACAAGTCTATTCTCATTCTGAACATTTTTTTTTCAGCTGCATTTATGAAGTTATAATTATACAAATAAGATGTTTTGCTGTCTAGCTGAATAACAGATAAATTTTAGGAACTCCTAATGTGTTTTCTTTCACAGAAATTCTGCCCTTATCCCAGCAGTAGTTTAATTAATCATGAAAATTTAGGTGAAGGGCCACAAAACAAACTTGAATGTGAAAAAAGGGATTTTTCCCAAACACCACTTTAAAGAAGAAATGTCTTTTAAGTACTAAATGAAGACTCGACTGCTAAGTGAATTCTAATTTGATGGCTTACCTCTTGCTTCTTAACTACTTTTCATAAAACAGCAACCTATAAATTTGTTTAAATAATTAACCATCTTTCCTTTCTATTCAGAATTTAAAAAATTAAATGTGTTAAAGATTACACTAAAAACACTCTTTTGAAAATGACCTCTGCACTGAAAATTTATAGGAATTTTTCCAATTAACGTTTAGATATTCTCACAAAATGTTTAAAGAAATACTACCTTTGAAATAATTCAAATGCATGCTTTACAAACCAAAAACTGATTATCTGTTATCATAATCTCCAATATTTACAAATCTAAATATCTTCTGTCAGATATCTTGATTATAAAATGTCAATAATATGGAAACATTTTAAGTTTAACAGAACATATTTAATTACAAGTTTCTCAGTGACACACAAGTCATTAAATTGGCCATTTCCATTGGTTGGCAGGAGGCTCTTCCACTAGAGGTTCCCACGGTTTCCACTGTATCATTTTTCTTGCTAGACTTAGTTCATTTTCAGCCTGTTAAAAAAAAATTGTTTAAAAAAATAATTTAATTATGTAGACTAGTAAACTTTCATCCTAGCTAATAACTGAAATTTTACTACTAGCATAAAACTTTCATATTAATACATAAGATGCTGTATCTCATCAAATGTTGAACATTATTAATTAAATTGATTTAATTCTCACAGCTACAAAATCACCATATATAAGAAAGGATGCCTTTTGATTTCTTCTATTTAATTAAAATTTGCAATTAAAAAACTATTATAACTATTATATAGGTTTAGTTGGTGAGTTTTCAATCTTATTCATCCTCTTCACTATTAGACTACAAATTCCTTAAGGATCACAAATATGTTTCATCTTTGTCAGGGCTTTCAAACATCATTTTACCCTGGCCAAACAGTAATACAAAAACTATTACTATGGAACCCATAATACACACGTAATTAAAAAAAGACTAAAAATATCATTACCTTTACTAGCTGTAGTACAATATTTTCTAGTTTGTTTTTTTTTTTAAAGATATACTTATGCATACAGAACTGGGGTACAGGCCAGAGGTGCTGGGACGGTGATAGGATTCACCAGAGACAAAGTGGGGAGCAGAAAAGTCACATCAACGAAGTACACTGCTGAGGGGAGCAGTGGGAGGATCAGAAGAGGTCTGCCGCACCATATGGATCACCTCCGGGGCGGGGACCGAACTCTTGCTGAAGTGGCTTTAGCTTCTTAGTGCTCTGCTTTAAACCCATTGCACCACGAGGGAGGGCCTATTTTTTAGTTTTTTTTTAAATGCTAGTCACAACCCACCCAATTACATGATCCATAATCACATAAGAGCCATGCTTTATTAAAACATAACCTGTGGTATATAAAAGAACAGGCCACAAAAAAAAAGTTATTGATTGGGGACTCCCTGGCGGTGCAAGGGGTAAGTCTCAGTGCTATCAAGCTATCATCAATCTCTGTGACAGGTGTTAGATCCCCAGCCAGGAAGCTAATCAAATGGCACAGCAGACCTCTCCTGTCTCACCGGCTGCTCCCCTCAGCAGTGTATTTCAGTTGATTTGCCTGTTCTGTTACCTACTTTGTCTATGGTGAATCCTCTCACCCCCTTCTACCTCTGGCCTATACCCCAGTTCTTATATGCATAAAACAAATTTTTTTTTAAAAAAAAATTGACTGAATTAAGTTTCCTTAAGCAGGTTCTGCAGCATTTCATTTTCTTGTCAAACACATTTCACAACACATTTAAGAAATATATTTTAGGAGTCTTTTAGCTCATTTTTTCCCCTACAACAAAAAGTGCTGTAAGAACCCTAGACAATTTAGAATGGACAATGCTGAACATATGTCATGATATCGAAGACAACATTCAGCAGTAGCAGTAAGTGCTTAAGCTCTATGAGAGGTTACAATGCTATGGTAATAAAGGTAATTCCTCCTTATGTCAGTGGTACAAAACAGCCAATTAAAATTTAGTAGCAACAGTTTTAAATGTATACTAACAATGGATTAAAGGCACTAATGGAAACAGGTAGATTTATTAATACTAAAATGAGAAAATACAAACACTGATTTAAAAGAACCATAAGGAGAGTTGTTTCTCTGTGTTTTGGCCTATGTCTCCAGGAATTCATGTTTTCTCTAAGCCCCCTCAAGCATTATGGGGTATGGGGAAGGTGTCTAGTTCTAAACATTATGGAAATCTGTCCTAGTTGACCCCAGTAGCATGTATCCCGATTGCCCACTTCTTCCTGTGACACTGTCTTCTGACCCACAATCCTTTTCTCAATCCTTTCAAACTACCCCTCCAGAAATGGGCTGTCCAATATGGTAGCCACTACCTATAGGAAGAAATCACCAATAACAAATTTGCCTCAAATTCCCGTAACATTATATTTCTTAGTTGATCTAGCGAGTAAACAGAAAGGCTAGGAAAATAGGCCTTTGAATGACTGAACAGTCTACATTCATAAAATGCTGTCTGAATACTGTAATTCTCTTAACAGCCTTTAATAACTGTTTTCAATTTGTGTATGATGTCTGTTGGTGTTATTGCTCCCTTGCTTCCCACACTGTCCAATATATCCTTTACTTAATCTTAGAAAATAAACAAGAAAATTAAGGAAATATGGCTACATATTTTTAAAATGTGAGAAAATATCAGAATTAAATGAAATGAAATTGAATATTCATTTATTTATCAAGCCCTAAAAAGGAAATTATTCCAAACCTAAAATATTGGGGTGAAGGAGATGTTGCAAGGGGGAATACTCAATAAAAATTTTGATTTATGGCCCTCCCTGGTGGTGCAGCGGGTTAAAGCACTGCACTAAGAAGCTTAAGCCACTTCGGCATGAGTTCCATCCCCGCCTGCCAGGGAGGAGATCCACATGGCGCAGCAGACCTCTCCTGACCAGCCCACTGCTCCCCTCAGCAGTGTAATTCGTTGATCTGCCTGTTCTGCTCCCCACTCTGTACCTGGTGAATCCTCTCACCCTCCACATGTCTGCCTGTGCCCCAGCTCTGTATGAATAAATAAAAATCTTAAAAAAAAAATTTAAAAAAATTTTTTTTGATTTGCCTACATAAAGTTTAAAAAATTTACATATGAGAAAAAAATGTCCAGTTATAGACAAAAGGCAAAGAATAAAAATAAAGTGTGGACAATATACAAAAACTTCAAGTTAATGTTTTTTGTTTTGTTTTTTCCCTCATATATAGAGAGAGAGAGGCTGTAGCATGAGGGAAAGGAGAAAATTTTCAAATAGAGTAATTTAAGACTTTATATGTTAAATAGAATTAATAAAGTCAATGATAATTTTCCCACTCCCAATGTCCTTTAAGAATTATATTAATTTCTGGCCCTCCCTGGTGGCGCAGCGGGTTAAAGCACAGTACTGAGAATCTGAAGCCACTTCCGCATGAGTTCGATTCCCACCTGCCGCCTGCCCCGGAGGAGACCACATGGCGAGCCAGACCTCTCCTGACCCGCCCGCTGCTCCCCTCAGCAGTGTAGTTCATAGATCTGCCTGTTCTACTCCCCACTCTGTCTCAGGTGAAGCCTCTCACTGCCCCTGAGCCTCTGGCCTGTACCCCAGTTCTGTATACATAAATAAATCTAAAAAAAAAAAAAAAAAAAGAATTATATTAATTTCATTATTTGTCAGGGTTAGTTCCCTGAAAACTATGTAAAATCATGCTCTCAAATACATTATACAACTAAAAATTGTTTTTCTCCAACAAATGTTAATTTGGTTGATTGCTCCAACAGTCAAAACTAAAATGTACCTTTTAACCTTTTGATTTTAAGCATATGTATTTTCCCATATTAAAAATATACTGTATTTAAAACTTGAAGTAACTATTTGGATATGAAAAGATAAATAATTACAATAACAGCAAATTATATTACTATTTGAGCTGAAATAAAGCTAGTAAGGACATGCTGACTAAATTCAGAGTAACAAATTTCCAACAGAAGCTTCATAAAATCATGTTATAAGAAATGATGAATATTTAACTGGTGTAGACAATAGAAGAATCTTCTATATGTGACTACTCATATTTAATGAGTTGATTTAGTTGTTCTTTCTTTATGAAATGTCAGTTTTGTCTTATACCAATACTGTACCACTGAACATTTGACACCAAATATATAAATATTCAAAATTTTCTTTACCTGAAGAATCACTTCTTCTATTTCACCACCCTGAAGTCGATCCTCTAATTTTTTAACATCTGTTTCCTATAATTTAAGGGGGAAAAAAAAAAACATATAAATATAGGAGCACCATTGACTATTTCAATATCTTACAGGACAGCAAGTTTGTCTGTATTGTTCCGTGCCTTGAAATTTCATCACTTTCATGCCTCAGAACATATGTGACATCATGACCTCATTAACCTTTCTAGACATAACAGAAGTTAGGAGTTCAATACAGGAATTTTGCTGCACACAGCCCATGACAATGCTCAGTATAATTTTTGATTCTTAAGAGAATAATTTGGTCTCCTCAGCAAAGCACTACTAAATATAGTTATGTTTGGCAGATTGCTTGAGATAGAGCAGATATTTTGTGGTTGTTTTGCCTTCATTATTCTTGGGAACTAGAGAAAAGAGATGAAGATTATTGTATGTATAATGAGTAAAAGCAATGAAGGACTGAGTAGGGAAGAAAGAATAAAAAACAAATACATGGTAACTTAGGGGAAGGACTTGTTTTATTGCTTCACTCCAATAAAAAATACTTACATATGGAAAAGTACTCAGCAAACAGGAGATTGTGAATAAAAGGGAGGAATGATGAAATAAAATCTTGTAAGAATGGAGAATAGAATTAAGAAGGAAGTATGTACATATGAAAAAAAAAATAAGCATCTGCTTCTTTTTTGTGAAATACTGCATTGGATACTATAAATCCAAGAAAACAAAGTCAAGTCATCTACTTACCGCTTTAACAATACCCAGCTTCTCATTGGTAATCTGTTCTGTGTACTTCCTATATGCTGCATTTTTAGGGATTTGGTCAAGAACATCAAGAATCTTTGTGTACAATATTCTTAGCCTCTGAAAAGACAAATCAGGGTAAATTTTCATAGTTTAAAATATGATAAAGATTTAATGAAATACTTTAAAGTCAGATTATTTGAATAAATGTCTTTTAAAAAGTAATTTCTCCATATCTATGCTATACCCCCCAATATAAATATGGAAACTCTTTAGTATGCCTCAAAAGTTGTACACAGTCAAAAGTATGATAACAGAAATAAAACTGCATTCTAACTTATTTTTAATCATCCCTTTTGAAAACCCAGTCATTAGCTAAATCAGTATTTCATAAAATTTAAATTCTGAAGTTTTAATTTTTCTATTTGTATATGTGTTGAAGGGATATAGGTCAAAATATATGTAATAGATTATCAGTGTGAAAATTTAATAAATGTAGTCATAATACTTTAGGGTAAAGGACTTTGAAAGTTTCACTAAAAAGCTAAACAGAGAAAACTAACAAGAGACTGCTCAGTTTATATGGAGACATAGTGAAATTAAAAGTTCAGTAGAGTAATATCTGGACTCTCTGCTACTGGTAAACACATGTGCAAAGAAGCAAGAACAATAATCCCCCTTATCCATGGTTTTACTTAAAGTAGTTTTTGTTCTCAAAAACACAAAGTAAAATCACATGTCATAAGTTGAAATGGCAGACTCTAATGATTCCTAAGTAATAAATGTCATAGATAGTAGCTAGTAAAAGCAATTCCTAAAGAGTAAATATAACTATATATATATATGTGATAAGGAATTTCTTTTGTTTGTGTTTAGTTTGAAGTTTTAGCTTAATATAAAATTGGTTGGAGCCAATACTTACTTCATATATATATGAGAATAAACAAATTCGAAGAGTATTCAGTATTCAAAAATCATTTATCTAAAAAAGTAGTGTAGATATTTAGATGCTATTTAAATATTTGAATATGATGTTTCGTAATAAAGGGTATTTTACTACACTACTTCAGATATCTTCCAATAACACGTAGTAGCTTTGGTTTTATTTTTTGCCTCATTTCTTCTAAATTTTAGGAAGAGGTATGACAACAGAAAGGTCAGGTCAAAAGACTTGGTTCTGATTATTTGTTCCCCTTTTGTTTCTGTAATCACTGTGTGGGGATATAGCTGTAGGCCCTCTCCACAGTCATCTGCGCAACCTGTCGTGTGTGTTGTTTTCATTATCTTCTTCATAATAAATATATGATAAATATACTTCCTTAAGAAGTATGTTACTGTTAAAACTTTGATTTACTCTTTAACTTGTAGATACTTTTTATTCATATCCTCTCCTACTTACATATACATATAGCAGTGTTTAATCTAACATAATAAAATTTTAATCTGATTTGAAAATTTAAATTTGGCTTCAATTTTAATCTTTCCTGATAAGACATCTGTTCCTGGAGGAGAACCAGAGATGATTAACTTATCACAAAGGAAAACATATTATGAATAGGGTGGACATCTAATTAATCCTACAAACTAGGACACTTGACAGTGAGGGAAGACACTATTAATCATTGTGCCAAAACACTCCAGGCAAACAAGACATGGTCACCCTGAGTGTTAGCACCAGCTTTCCAATAATTACAAACACATGAACTCTTCAAATAAAGATCATTCATTTTTTTCTATAAAATATGTGCTCCTCACTACTTCTATACAATAGTGCCTTAGGAGTTCTTTGGCTATAAAGATAGACTGCACATGGATCTCACTCCCATATGTTTAAGGTCTTGTAGAATAAAACAAAGAAAAGGAAAAAAATATTAAATACTATAACATAAAATAAGTGTGCAAAAAATGATTGGTAAACACCATAAAACATAAAATGAGTGTGCCTACAGTAGTGGTGGGGAAAGACACAGAGCAGGGAGGAAGTAGAGCAATGGTTAATGTGCCACCTACGTCAGACTGCTGAGTATATACCAGTGCACTCCCTAGTTGTACTAGACAAGTTACTTACTCTTCCAGGCTTTCATTCCTCATCTGTAAAATGGGGATGCTAAAATGTGCTTCAAAGGGTGCTATATAAATTAAACAGTACTTGGCGCACATTAAGTTGTAACAAAAGTTAGCAGTAGGGCCTCTCTGGTGGATCCCAGCTTCAGTTTCCGTGCCATCACCACAACAGCCTGAGTTCCATCCCTGCCAAGGAGCTAACTCACATAAAGTACAGTAGACCTCTTCTGTCTCGCCCACTGCATCCTGCAGCAGTGTATGTCAGTAGATCTGCCAGTTCTGCTCCCCACTCTATCTCTGGGGAATCCTCTCACCATAACCACCACCAGCCACCACCCTGTACCTCTGGCCTGTACCCCAGATCTTGCATGCATAAGTAAATAAATCTTTTTTTTTTTTTAAAGATTTATTTATTTATTCATACAGAACTGGGGTACAGGCCAGAGATACGGAGGGTGAGAGGATTCACCAGAGACAGAGCGGGAAGCAGAACAGGCAGATCGACGAAGTACACTGCTGAGGAGAGCAGCGGGCGGGTCAGGAGAGGTCTGCCGCGCCATGTGGTCACCTCCAGGGCAGGCGGGGATCGAACTCATGCAGAAGTGGCTTTAGTTTCTCAGTGCAGTGCTTTAACCCACTGTGCCACCAGGGAGGGCCCAGTAAATAAATCTTTAAAAAAAAAAAAAAAGTGACTTCTACAAAATTTTAAATTACAGACATGGCTTACATTTGTGACTTGTATTATATATTTTAATTGGATAACACACTAAAATATAGGACAATGAGAAATGCTTTAGGTTATAAGGTTGGAGAAAAATAAGTCAGATTGTTTAAGTGGTTTTGCATGCCAAGTTAACGTATTGGGTCTTTATTCTGTAAGCAATTAAAAGATTTAGAAAAGTTACATAATTAAGTCTATTCCAGGAAAATTAACCTAGTAGTAGCAAGTAAAAAGGACAGGATGAAGAAGCAATGGGTAGAAAGGCAAGTGCAACTGCAACTACCCAGAGCAGTGATAATGGTGACTGAGAACAGGGAAATTAGGAGAGGGAATGATGTAGTAGCCAAAGTACATGTTGAGGATAGCACACAGAGTATTTACTAAAGTACCAAATAAAAAAATAAAAACAAAACAAAAGAGGATTTCGTTTCTGATCTGAGTAGCTAGAAGAATGGAAGTGCCAGTAACTAAGATGAGCAAGGTTACAGAAGAGAGGTATTGGGGACATCAGGAGCCCAATTTTGGACATGTTAAGTTTGTTGCTTCTATGACATCCAGTGGAAATATCCACTAAACCTTTAAACAGGCAAGAATTTCATACAGGGAGATGTCAGTACGTGATTGGAAATCTAAGAGTATTCAGTGTAAAGGTGGCATATAAAAGCCATTGGACTAGGCCCATACACTTAGAGTGAGCAAATACAAAAAGAGAAGTCAAAGATCTAAGCCACAGAACTCCAAAAATTAGAAGTGCGGATATATGAGAAACAACCAGAAAAGAAGACAAAAAAAAGTAATGGGGGGGGGGGGGAGACAGAGGGCAGTAAAATGTTCCTGAAGCACAGTAAAGAAAAGACTTGACCTAACAGTGTTAAATGCTATTGTTGGGTCAATTAAGATCAGAAACATGAAATGAGCACTGAATTTAGCACCAGGGAGATCTTGATGGCCAAGCCTCACTGAATCGTGTTCAAGGAAAATAAGGGAAATTGGCAACAGTTAAGTGTAGATCCTTCTTTCTTTTTTTTCTTTTTTAAGGTACCTATAAAGGGAAGGTGGAAAATGTTGATTATGGGAAAGAGGATGGAGGAGGGCTTCCTGGGCTTTGGTTTAGATGGAAACATGTCTAGTGATGAAGAAGAACTACTAGAAGGGAAAACTGATGACAAATTGGGTCAACTGCCAGAATGAATTTTACTGGTCAGCAAAAGTGTATGCAATCTAGGACATCTAGGTAGAAACTGAGATGCTGGGGGAAAGACGGGACATGGAGACAGTGAAAGTGAAGTCCGAAGAATGACAGGGACTAAGTGAGTAAGACAAGTTTTAGAATAAAGATGTCCGGGAGTGGGAGTGGGTTGTGCGGGGGTGCGACACCGGTTCAATTAAATAAATGTCGCTCTTGTAAGAAGCTCTCACTAAACCGTAACTTCAGATTTACAGTATTCGTATCCCCTTGGCCTTGCAACAAACGAGGACATCGGGGTCTAGTCTTCCTCTAGAACTAAGGTGTCAAGAAAAAGAGGCACGTACCTCATGTGGAGTGTCACACACAGCCAATCCCACAAGGCCAGTGGTCTGTGCAAAAACAAAACAAGATCCACGCTGTTTACCGCAATTCGAGTGTTCCCGACGCTAAAGAATCACCACTCCCCGGGCTACAGCTTGTCTAAAACCCGCTAAGAGTCCCTCGGTGCAGCTCGTTCGAGCTCGGTTCTGCCACTCCGAGAGGAGCCACAAAACTGATCAGCCCTGTGAGCAGAACAGAAAGTCCCCCCAAAGCACTGGCAAGTCGGGGGAATCCCCTCGCCGACTCTACCCTCACAGTCCAAAATCCTAACAGTGACCTCCAGTTGTCTCACCTTCTTCAGCAGACCCGCCATGACAGCTCCGCAGAGCCGAGGACGCGCTGCCCTCTGGGAACCTTGATCAGACCCGCTCAATCCACCACCGATGCCGCCACTCTATCACCTTGGAAACCGTGTGGCTCCTCCCCCGCACCACACCCTCCCCAGTCTCCACGAGAGCAAATTCCCGCCCCTCCCATAACAAAAAAAAAAAGGAAGCGACGCATGCGCAGTGAGTGCACAAGCGCTTGGGCAAATGTTGAGTTAGATTTGTTTCGTCTAGGTTCCTGACACTACCCGGTTCACGTTATTACAGAGGTTGCGAAGCGCGAGGCCAGGTACCAAAAAAACCCCGAAAAGATGTCTCTAAGAAATTGCATGAATTCTTCAGCCTCCCTCCCCCAAGGTAGTGTGTATCAAATGCAAGGGATTGTGGCGCTTTCGCGTACGTGATCTGTAGCTGCAAAGGTTAATTTGCACACAATGTTCGTATTCTCTTAGAAGCCAAAGCTGTATGCCGCGTGCGTCAGTTTCTCTGCCAACCCTTTTAGATTTCACTTACCCAAGGACAACATCCTTTTTCTTATTTCCTCAGGTGAAATGATACCAGACCATACCACTTCTCACCTCTACAAACATTTATTGAACACCCATTATGTGTTAGTTACTAAGGGCATAATTTGTAAGACAGGATCTCATGTCCTGAAAGTCACAGAACAATGATAAAGGCATGCAATATTAATAAATTAGGGAGTGTTCTAAAAGTTGTTTGTGCCCAGCACAATGGTGGCGGGAAAGAGGAAATAACTAACCAAAATTATGGGTGACGAGTTAAAGAGGCATTTGTTGAAAAGTCAAGGGGACAAAAAAAAAAATTAGTTCCTTTACTATATTCAAACAATGAGCTAGAAGAAAAAGGAATATGAAAATGATTAAATATCTAGCGGTAAACTTAGTAAATGAGGTGACAGACCTATACAAAGAAATCTAAAACACATTGTTCTATTCAAAGAATCCTATAAAACTAAAAGAAATAGAACACACAAGGAAATGTGAAAATATTCCCTACTCATGGATTAGAACTACTAACATTGTCAGAAGGGCCATCCTATACAAAGCAATATGGAGATTCATTGAAATCCTGATCAAAGTTTTGTTGGAATTCTTCAAAGCAGTAGAACAGACATTACAAATTTCATACAGGACCACAAAATACCTCAAATAGCCAAAACAATCTGTCACATGCCTAAATAGCAAACTAAACCATGAAGCTATGAGAATCAAACAGTATGTCACTACAGTAAAAACAGACACACATGGATAAAAAACTTTGGATGTAAGATCTGAAACCAGGATCCTCCCTGGTGGGACAATGGGTTAAAGTGCAGCACTATGAAGCTATCCACAGCCACCGCAGCACAAGTTCTATCCCTGGCCAGGTAGGTGACCCACATGGCACGGCAGACTTATGTCCCTCCACTGCCCCCCTCAACAGTGTATTTCATCCAATCTGCGTGTTCTGCTCTCGACTCTGTCTCCTATGAATCCTCTCAACACCAACACTTCTGGTCTGTACCTCAGTTCTTATATGCATAAATAAATAAATCTTTTTTTTTTAATTTTTTTTTAAAGATTTATTTATTTGTGCATACAGAACTGGGGTACAGGCCAGAGGCTCAGGGGCGGCGAGAGGCCTCACCAGAGACAGAGTGGGGAGCAGAACAGGCAGATCAACGAAGTACACTGCTGAGGGGAGCAGCGGGCGGGTCAGGAGAGGTCTGCCACGCCATGTGGTCACCTCCGGGGCAGGCGGGAATCGAACTCATGCGGAAGCAGCTGTAGATTCTCAGTGCTGTGCTTTAACCCACTGCGCCACCAGGGAAGGCCAATAAATCTTTTTTAAAAAGAGTTCAATAATCATAAGGAAAAAATCTGAAGCTATAAAATACATAGGCAGAACACTCCATGACATAGGCTTCAGAGATATCTTTGAAAACTCATCTCTAACAGAAAAAAAAGTGAGAAATCCTGTACTTTAAAAACACAAACAATATTGCAAACAAACATTTTCCAATTAAAAAATAAAATAAAAGGATATTTTTAAAAGGATATTAATCATTTCTGGTGTCTCCATTCATTGTAGGCATATTAAAAAACAGTTTGGATTTTTTTTTCCTGTCTTCTTTTCTCGCTGAAAATGGATGTGGTTATTTTGGATATCCATACGGATATGCTATAGATACTTCTGAAAATATAATCAGGTAATTGTGTTTCTAATATATGATGTGTTTTTTCCCATACAATGTAATCCTGTAATATAGAGACATTATTAAATATTCAAAACTGCCTCTGTTTATCTTATAGTCAGTTGACTTCGTGAACCTTGCAATCATTTCTCCAGCAGGTGGTGATAAAGAGACATGTTAATGGTAATCTTGGATGAGGGGATGAAGAACCTTACTTCTTTTATATGTTCTGGCATATTCATTTGGTGAGAAACATAAATAGTACAGCATAAAGGAGTTTGGAGTAGCAAACACATAGACAGAAAGAGGAAAACTCTAGTTCAGTAATGGCTAGACCACGAAAAGTGTCCATTTAAAATTAAGTCATCATGAGTCATTTTAGGAAGTCATTACAAAATGTGACTAGCGGGATAAGGACGTCTGGGTTGTGCAACCCTATATGATTTTAAAATGCCATTTCTTGCATGTTAAGTATTTGGAGGATGTATATGACAGCTGTTAGTGGCAGTAAGAGAAAGTAGGGGCTCAGGTTTTCCCTGTCAGCATTAAAGGAAGGAGGGCCGGCAAGGGAAAGGAACAGACTAAAGAACTGGATTTTGTTATTTTTAAAATCCAGGTGATGATTTTCAGCATGTCAAAGGCACAAGGCCAGAAAATTACAAGGTGGGAAAGAGAAGCTGAACATCATGTCCATAGAATCTTAAAAGTGCAGCGTAACTGTCATGGTTGGAGGGGACGTGATGGGAATATTCTTGCAGAAACTTAGAAGCAAGCAAATTAAATCTAATTAATGTTCTGACATTAGTTCTGCAATAGTTTCTATAAGAAAGAAGTTGCAGAAGAGAACTGGAATGTGATGGAAATTCTGATAGACACAAGAATTCAAAGCAAATGATTGGTATTTTTAATCTAAGAAAAACTGCAATACGATGGCATCCAAGTCAATCTTTTTCAATGCTGAAAGCTGGAACTACAGCCATAGTTTCCTTACGTGGTGGGAGGAAGCACTTCTCTCCCCTTCCAATTCCTAATTTTCCCTTCCAAAGAAGGTTGCAGGTCCTGCTGGTATAGTATCACATCAGCAGACTTATTTCCTTTTCTTTTAAACAAACCACCTTTATTTTTCTTTCTGGAATAGCTTTGGCATGTGCAAGGAAAGCTGAATATATAAGAAACTCACTCTTTCCATATTCTCACTCCCCCCAGCAGGTATGTGGGTTCACCTCTGCGCATAGGCTTCCATTAACCCACCTTCCCAGATTAATGTCTGAGTAGAATAGCCCAAGCGAGTCCTTCTGGCAAGCAGCTATTAGTTCTGCAAGAGGCATACTGCAAGGGAAAGTAAGCAATTTCTCTTTCTGTTTCTTAATTTGGAGGCATTAAATAGCCTGATATATCTTTGCTTCTTCAGACAACTATTTCCTTTTCCCACTGGAATGTATAAATTCCTTCTCTAATACATAAACTCCATCCATCTGACCCTTGCTTCAAAACCAGTATGAATAGAAAAGAAGTCCAAGCAAGAATTCTAATTTAATGCCACATGTCACCAGTTTTATGTCTTTGGAAGATTCTTCAACTCCTCTGGATCTTGGCCAATACCTTCACACAGATAGTAGGTCATTTCTTGACATGTAGTTCAGGAACCTGTTGCTACTCAAGTCAGTGTTCCAGAGCATCCAGGGCAATAGAAGTTAGTAATGATATTTGTATTGATCTATATTTTTAAGCAATAAATATTTGAGAGCCCCCACTGTACAGTAGGCAGATATGAGCTCTGGGTAGTGGGGATCAAATGATACTGGGAACAGGCTAGCATACTTCTACCTAAAAGGCCTCAACAATTTGACTATTAATTTGGTATCAAGTTGTTCTTAATTTTAGGCAAGATATTGATATCTATCTACATAGAGACATTATACTCACTATTACCATTACCATTTCTCATTACCTTTTCGTCACTGCTCTTACTTCTCTCTCATTCACTCCCTCTTTATCCCTGTTAATCACTAATCTATTCTCCATTTCAAGAACATTGCATGCAACCATTTGGGATTCACTTTTTTCACTCTATAATTCTCTGAAAATTCATCCAGATTGTTGGAAAGAGCAATTCATTCCTTGTTTGCAGAGTTACATGCCATGATGTGGCTGTACCACAGTTTGTTTAAACATTCACCTGTTGAAGGACATCTGGACTGTTTCCAGTTTGAGGCTATTGCACAGTTGAACACTTTTGTTCAGATATTTGAATGAACGTGAGTTTTCATTTATCTGGTATAAGTGCTCAAGAGTGTCACCACTAGGTGGTATGGTACTTTCCTGTTTAAGTTTTTAAGCATCGACCTGACTTTTAAAAGTGTGGTTGTATCATTTCGCATTCCTACCAGCAATGCATGAATGACCATGTTCCAGTATTTGGTGTGGTCACTATCTGTTTTATTTTAGTCATTTTGACCGGTATGTAGTAGTATCTCATTGTGGCTGTAATTTGCATTTCCCTAATGGCTTATTGATGTTGAACATCTTTTTATATGTCTGTTTTCCATTGCATGGATATTCTCTCTCAATTTCTCTCTCCCTCTCTCTCCCTCTCTCTTTCTCTCTCTGTCACACACACACACACACACAGAACTACTTATGTGAGGTATTATTGTGAGGTGTTATTACTTATTGTGAGGTGTTATTCGACTTGATTATGGTAATCATTTTAAAATATATGTATCTCAAGCTACCATATTTTCACTTGAAGTGTTTACAATTTTCTCAGTTATACTTCAATAAAACAAGCAAAACAGCACTCACACATCACTACCTGTAGTTCACCCATTTCTCATTTCTCTGATTCCTCTTGCCCTTTAACTTAGTACCATATAGCTTAGAATTGGTTGAATTTCTTCTTCTTCTTGCTAATTTTGAGAGCAGAAAATATGATTTTTCACTTATTGTGCTTACTGGCCTACAGCACTTTGCCCGCAGCACTTTTCGTAGTTCATGATAAGGTAGGCGTACATCTAAACACATAGCAAATCAGTCAGTAAATTCTTACAGCATTGACAGCATCAGGAATTATAAATGATGGAAGAAACTTGGATTTGAGGACTGTACAACTTGTCCCTTCTTTCTCAACTCCCAATATTTTGATTTTACTTTTCATATTCAGAATTAAAGATTACCAGAGAAAAATTCCAGAATTCCCAAGGAAGTATCTGGGAGTGTGAATAAGCTATCCTTTATTCTTCATTTATGGATTTTCACCTTGGATATAAATGGCCTGAAACTATACTATTTAATGTTTGGGGTTTTTTTGTTTTTGTTTTTGTTTTTTTGTAATCTCTAATTATGGACTACCTCCAGCAGTCCATTATTACAGCTAAACAATGAATTCCTCAATTCACTAAACATTGTTCAAAAGATCTTTTATATCACACAATAATTTTTCTGAAGAACCATTTCTTATCTAGAATGAGGCTGCTCAAGTTTGAGCACTCCTGCACAGTACCTTTTAGTATAATTTTATTTTTCTGTTTCAGTCTTGAAGACTTTATTGGGGTTATACCCTACTCACTTGACTTCCAGCTCCTTTGAGCTCCATTTAAAACATATAAGGGATAAAAATCTGGAGAGGCCTGACCCGCCCGCTGCTCCCCTCAGCAGTGTACTTCGTCCATCTTCCTGTTCTGCTCCCCACTCTGTCTCTGGTGAATCCTCTCACCCTCCGCATCTCTGGCCTGTACCCCAGTTCTATATGAATAAATAAATAAATCTTTAAAAAAAAAATCTGGAGAGGAGGGTAAGCATTTATCATAAAGGTGTCAAGTTGATCCTTGTCTTTGTTCAAAGAATTAGGTTAGTTTACATTCAATAATCTAACTGATATTTGCTTTGTATTTTGGTCTTTAAAATTTTTTCCTATATAATTTTTTTTTATGTTTTATGTAGTTCTTCAGATTTTTAGAATGGCTTCTATGTTTTAATATGGTGGTTAAGATATTTACAGTTTTTAAAAATATTTATTTATTTATGCATACAGAACTAAGGTATGTGCCAGAGGTGCAGAGGAAGTGAGAGGATTCACCAGAGACAGAGTGATCAGACAGAACAGGCAGATTAACGATATACTACTATGGGGAGCAGCAGGCAAGACTGGAGAAGTTAGGTCACCTCCCTGGCCAGGGGAGGGGCGGAGCTGGCTGCTGCTAGCCTCATAGTGTTGTGCTTTAACCCGATGCACCACCATGGAATGCCCTAATATATTTACAACACTTTATAACTCTTAGTTTCTAGTTTTTCTAGATAGTACCTGTTTATTCCTTGGCAGAAAATTAATAAAATTATGTTCCTTCTTTCTCTACTTCTCTTGTGTATTTCCCTTCTTGTACAATCAAAGTTAAAATAAATTATCTTGCTAAGAGTTTACCTTTACATGTTGACTAATTTTACACTTTCTGTATTTATCACTTTACTTCCAGCTACACCACATGAGGTAATCAATACTCATTCTCTTCCTCTTTCCTGCCCCCAAATTGGAAGTTGTATCATTTCTATGTTGTCAAGGAATATAAAATCAGCATTCCATTCTGCAGTTCTAATTGCTACAGGTCTTTGATGATTTACTCCACAGCAAATATTTCTTCAATGTTCTCTGCTAATTCATTTGTCATGGTGGCCTCCAATTGTTTATTATTTGGCTAAATTAATCCTCTGGTAGTTTCTTTAAAATTTAATGGCAACAATACACATTGAGCCTTACAAGATCATCACTTGACTAGATCCAAAATGACTGGATCTTTCCTTACGTGTCTCTAGGTGTTCCCTTGGAGAAAGAGTATGTCAGATTGCCTTTTCTCTTCAGATGATTTGATATATATTTTTTCATCCTGGCCACATAGTCTTTTTTATTATTCTTTAAATTCCAGTGAAGCTACTAAGTTATATCTCTTATTGAGTTTTTTGGGTCATTTTTTAACCTGGCACAGTATTTCCTGTAGCTATGTAAATTTAAATCTTCTTGTATGTCTCTCTTTTCTTGCTTCTTCTGGTTTTTGTTTTTTAGCATCTGTCTTAAGGTCTCCCCAAAACTATGCATTTGTTGGACTTTTATTGACTGTTTTATGTGTGGGATAAATACAGAGTGATATATAGATTAATATGCTACTTTTTAAAGATTTATTTATTTATACATACATTTATGCATACCCCTCTGGGGTACAGGCCAGAGGTGCAGGGGCTGTAAGAGGATGCACCAGAGACAGAGCGGGGAGCAGAACAGGTCAACTGACGCAGTACAATGCTGAGGGAGCAGTGGGCTGATCAGGAGAGATCTGCTCAGGAGAGATCTGCTGCGCCGCCATATGGGTCAGGAGGGCATGGAACTCTTAGCGGAAGTGGCTTTAGCTTCTTAGTGCTGTGCTTTAAGCCCCTGCACAACCAAGGAGGGCCCTGCTACTATTCTTTCTAATGCTTGCTTTACTTTCATTCCATTCTATGGCTCTTCTCACTTTTATCCCCTGTGTGTCTTTCTGTGCCGTCTCCAAGGTCTATCCTTAAGAAGCCCTTCAAAACCTTCTGTGGTTTTTTGTTTGTTTTGTTTTGTTTTCTCTCTTCTGCTTCTTCCCTGATTTCTTCCAGCATTTGTTTCATCTTTTCCTAGTCTGTTTCCATCTTTTCACTGAGTTACTGCATTTCTACTCCTTCTTCCTTCATAGCTAAAGGTGTGTTATCACGGTTACAATTAATGATCATTTTAATCTGCTCGACAGCAGGCTTCCAGATAAGTGTAATTTACCTGTTGGAGTTTTGCTACATTTTCTCTATATCCTTCATTGCACTTTTATATCTGTACTCTAGCCTTCATGTTTATCAAGCATTTTAAAGCTAGTTGGATTTCCCTGCACCACCTACAATTCAGGAGAGAACAAAGAGACTGCTTCCTGAAGCTGTATGCTTCTTTGTGTGACTCCTTCCTTCTGTTTTTCTGAACCAAAGCAGATTCAAGAGGGTTTTTTGCCACCACCTTGCTCCTTTGTTCTTACTCACATTGACACAATCAAAGGAAATAACTCCCTAAAGAAGTCTCTCTGAACACTCGCTCTTCTCCAGTAGAAATTGTGGATTTGCTGATGTTTTACAGATCTGCTTCCACAAGGTTTTCCTACCACTCTGTTTCTTTTCACACAGTTCTGCAAAGATTCCTTGGTAATCTTTACGGCTTTTTAACAGTCCTTACATGTTTTCTTGAAATCTAGTGATTTTATTAGTCTAGTTTTGCCAAAAATGTGGTTGACAAGTTTTTAGTTTTTTTGTCATTTTCCTAGTTGCTTATACACAATTTTCCAGAAGTCAAAAGCAAAAGATAGACTTGCATACCCATGTTCAAATTAAACTTCCAAGTATCTGTTTTGATATGAGAACTATTCTTTTATGACTATCTCATTGCAGTTATAGTTATAAAAATAGTTATATAACTAATTCATCTTTAATGCAGTAACTGAAATTTCAGATTATTGACTACTAAGTCATGTCTTTACTTCAAATGTCTATTTGCATGAAGATTGAATTTAAATGTAAAGTTTTAACATAACCTTGATAAATTCCATTGTTAGATTTCCTTCATTTTCCCCAGCCTACTGAGATGGTTCTATATTATTATTACCAACTCACATATATGCAAAAAAAAATCTCTATAAATATTCTCAGAAATGTTATGAATAGCTTTTCTATTTTTTTCCTTATACTTAATCTCTGTATGACTTTTTAGCCTGAGGACTTAATAGATAATCATAACCAAAATGAAAGTTAAAATTAACTCAGAGAACTATCTTGCAACCTGCTTGGTACCAAGAGATTTGCAAATCTATAATTTGTTCAGCTCCTAGGAGCTGAATTAATTATGGCAAATCACACTAATTAAATTATTTACTAGATCTTTAATTAAAAACAAATTTATTATGTTATACAGTGCATTGTGGACTTACTTAAAAGCACCTAACTTATCTTTTCATATAATGTGAAATTCTTTTTCAGAGATGTATTCAAGTGAGACCACCGAACAGGGGCGGGGGAGGAGGTTTGTGGGTTTTTCTGCTGCTGTTTAGGTCCCCAGACTTTCAGTAATTTTCGTGTATTGAATTTCTGCATCAGACAAAGCCCCTGTGTGAGACCCACATCCTCAGAGGCTACATCTAAAAACTCACTGTAAAAATGTACATAAATAAGTAGAATACAAGGCAAATAAATAAACTAGGAAAATAAAGGAGAAAAAGAAATGGGCTCTGACAAGATTGGAAACCTTCATAGAGTTGGGAAAGAAAGGTTTGAGCTGGTTCTTGGGGGGCAGGACTTGGCTGGCAGAAATGGGAAGAGGCAGGTAAGGTAACTGTGACAGGTGATGGGCTGAAGAAGACACAGAGGGAGGAATGTGTGTATCCTTTGCAGAGGGCAAACAAGTTATGTGCAGGTAGCAGGTGATGTCTTGAGGTGAGGACACCCCAACCTCTTCAATATAATGCTTGTTAAATTTGTGGTTTGGTTACTTGTTGAGTTGTTTGAATCGCTGGGCAGAGCAGTTACCATAATAAAGCTTACCAGGCCCAGGGCAGCTGTGTGCATCTCAGCTCTGGGCCATGTTAAGCAAGTAATACTCTCTAGCAGGAAGACTCTGCATAGTATCTCTCCCTCCTCCAGAATGGGGCAAGTAAGCACCCCTGCACACATATGTCCAGACTCACACTTCTTGAGCTCCACGTATAATGGTTGAATCTGTCAAGATTAACATCCCATTTCTGCTTCTCACTAGCTATGTGAACTTAGGCAATATGCTTCATCTCCTGAACCTTGGACTCTTTCTTGAAAATGGTCATAATAATAAAACATACACTTTGCAGAGATGTTGGGAAGATTCAATGTGAGTTAGTGCCAACACAGGGCCAGAACTGCAATATACACCACCTTTGTGTAAATTAGAACATCTCAACCCTCCCACTTGATGGTCCAACCCATTCACCAAGGCACTTGAATCAGTGTGAGAGGAAGGATTTCATTCCTTGGCCACTTTACCCAAGAATCCTTGCATTGAATATAATCTGCATAACTGCACACAAAAGTCTTGAGGAAAGGATTCAGCATAATGCCTGCTTATAACATTCTAAATTAGATTAGTATTTATAAAATGTGCATAATGATCTAAACTTCAACCTTGATGGTTTCAAGACAAGAGTTAGCAGGGTGTAAATAAAAAGTATTCCTCAGAGTATGCTCTAGGAGTGACTGAAACACAGCCACTTTACTGTTTAAGAAGAGTTGGGACATTTGCCTTCACATTTTTAACTTTCCAATTTTGAAATAAAACTGATAAAATCACTATAATGCATTTATTAATACCAAGTACAAAGAATGGATCCAAGAAATGAGAAGCATGGACTAGATCAAACAGTGCTTCCCAAAACTTAGGGAGTGGAGAGATTCAGAAAACAGGGGTGCCATGGCAGCAAATCCAGCAGAGGGCCTGGAAAATAAAACAGTAGAAGGTGACTGAGCCCCTTACAAGGAGTTTTTCTAGAGCAGCAGCGAGGACAGAGCGACATGGCTTTGTGAGTGTTGACAGTGGCCTCACTTAGTCCACAGATGCCATCTCAAAGCAAATGTAAGAATGGTTCTTTTCTTTAGAAAATCAGTAAGATACAAAACTTCATTTTTTTAATAAAAAACAAACAACCCTCCTCAATGAACATCTTGGCTTTCTGCTTTTTTTCAATCTGCCACTCACTTTTTTTCTGAGTATGTGTCTTCCATACCTTGACCTAAAAATTCTCAGAGTCAAGGTCATTAGAATTTCATCTTCCCATGAGTATCACACTGATGTTGATGAAATGCAAATCCACTGAAAGACAGACATTCATTTAACAAGATGAGTGTGTTTGATGACATTTGACAGGAGTCTACAAGATGAAGAAGAAGAAACAATGTGTTAAATAGAATAAAAATGGATTCGAATCTGCTTATACACATTTGTTGCTTGAACAACTGATGTAAAAATGTTTTTTTAATTCTACTGCACTGGGGTTGCTTTGTTCCTCTAGCAGCTGAATTGGCAGATCACTTGTTTTCCTGAGAGCTCTTTGAACCAATCAGGATACAGATAATCTTATTATACCTCTGTGGGCTTGTATTCCTTTTGATGAGAGTCTGGAGAAGTCATGGGTAATACTTTACTGGATGCCAGGAACTGCTTATGTTTCAGTTGTACAAGGTCAGATCTTAATTTAGCCACCAACTGGGTGCTTAATTTTAGACACACAGAGGAACACATTGGCTCCAAGATACTTCCTCTGGTTTAGGAAGGCAAAACCCTGGATAAGAATGCCAAGATGATCATTCCAAAAGGTGAAATTATGAAATATTTGATCTATTCCTCACCAACTAGCTTATTGGGTAGTTAGTATTGGGATGCTTTAAACAAGACACATATATGTTGTAGTTCACTACTGATGACTCAGGTTCATTTTGATTTAAAATTTGTTTATCCTGCATAAAAAACCTGGGCTGTAGGCCAGAGGTGTGGGAGTAAGAGGATTCACCAGAAACAGAGTGGGGAGCAGAACCAACAGATCTACTGAAATCCACTGCTGAGGGGAGCAGCGGATGAGGCTGGAGAGATCTGCTGGGCCATGTGGGTCACCTCCCTGGCCAGGGATCAAACTCTGGCAGTGGTGGATATAGCGCTGAGACTTAATCCCTAGGCCACCAAGGAAGCCCACTCAGGGTTGTTTTGTTTGCTTATAGAATATTAACTCAACTGCATAGTTACTAAACATAAAATGTTCAGTAATAAAACAGATGAAAAATGAACAGGTTTATGGGAAGTATTCATGTAACAGTGTGAAACTCTAGGAGGGTCTTAGTTAACCCTGGGTTCTGCAAAAAAGAATGAAATGCTTTTTGTGAATAGTTAAAATAAATTTTTAGCAAGGTTTTCTCATCATTTGTTTTATGGGTGTTTTATATTCAGTTCAAAAAGATGTCTTTAAATTCCTTTAAAATAGATGGAATATAAGAACTCAGTAGAAATGAAATTAGCTTCTGCAAATTAAGTCATAACATCTTGATGTTCAAAAATCCTTGGATTTTATCTGATACCAGCACCTATATGATTCTTAAAGGAATAGGTAACTTCTTAGGACTCTCCTACCTCTAAAGTTATCTCTTGAGATAGTGATGTGTGCAAGGGAGCCCTAATACTGCTTTGTTCTAAAAGTACTGAATTATGTCATAAATATCATAATTTTATATTTCAGTTGTTTTTATGGAATTAGTATAAAATCTGCCTAAAATTTTTATATGTCCACTGGTGTTATTTGATATATATGCTAATTGTTAGCTTAAATTCTTTTAGGAAACCTCTTTTGAGGGTTATCAAATTTGGGGCTACAAAATGACACCATCTTTTCACTAATTCCATCATATCCAGTTTAAGGATAGTGATTACGCCTTTGTGGCCTCTAATGTCAGATAGCTGGGTTTACATCTGTGTCTCCACCCACTTTCTAAATGTATGGACCTGGACAAATTACCTAACTACACTCTATCCTCATCTGTAAAGTGGGGAGGAGGTATGTTGAGGCCATTAAATGATATAATCTGTTTAATGTACTTGGACTAATTCACGTAACAAATAAGTACTTGCTAGATGCTACTTATAGTAATCATTGCATTCAATAAAACACTTATTTTTGCTGTATGCTCCTCCTTTGAAGGGAGGAGAGCTATTGGTGTTTCTAGAGCAGGACCTAGAATGAATTATTTAAAGGAAGCAATCTCCCTGAGGTCATGGATCCATACCCTAGCAGACACTGAATCTATAGTTTTGAATGTATAAATAGTGAAGATCCATAGTTAAAAAAAATAATCCCTAAGAATTGGTGAGTCAACTCTCCTTTATTTTTTTGATTAGTAGAGAAGGGGACAGTGACAGATACTCTGTACCCACCTTCAACAAGATATTTGACAGTATCTCTTGATGAAGCTCTTGTTATCGAAAGAAGGTGGTGTCATTGGGAGGATTTGTAACTGGATAAACAACAATTCTCTTGAGGAGTGCTAAATAATAGATCAATGTCAACCTCAAGACTTTGTCCTGTGCCAGTTTCTGTCCAACATTTATCTTCATCAGTGGACAAATAAAAGATATGCTTATTAAATCTACAAATAGAATAACAATACTTGGAGATATACAGAGTATATTAGATTTTAGCAGACTGGAATAAAGATTCAAATCTGAGAGGGAGACAGAGAAAGAAAGGTAATAGGGTGAAATGAAGTTCTGCACAGCGATGATGTAACTGAATTACAACATGTAGAAGTTGGAGAAACTGGGCTCCAAACCAAGTTTGTGATATGATAGCTCAAAAATTCATCAGAACTTGGGCTAAATGAACAGAGCTACAGTGTCTAGAGAACAGAAGGCATCATACCCACTTAATGTTGTGTTCATCTAAATGCAGTTATTGTGTTCCCTCCACAATCCATGGGCCAGGGCAATTTTTAGAAAGAGATGGATAGCTGAGTTGTTTCCAGAAAGCAATTAAGGTGCAGGGATGTGAAACCACATCATAGGAAGAACAATTGTCTGGAGAAGGTTCTGTGGAGACCTGACAACTTCTTTGGGACTTGTTAAGAGCTCTCCTGTAGGGGAGAACAACATTTTCTCAGTATTTCTCCCAGAAATACAAGTAGTATTTCAAAGAATAATGGATCAAGGAGATGAATTCAGCATAAATGCTTTTCGTAATTGTTAAAACAAGTCAAAGATGAAAGATTGTGTGTGGACACAGTAAGATTCCTGTCACTTTACTCAAGCTGAGGCCAGGCAATTCCACATTGCACATATTAGTCAAGTGGCTACCTGATGGCCACTTGATGATTCTAGAAAAAAAGGGAAAGGAAATAATGAGTGTGTCAGATTATCATTCAAGATAAGGAATAGGTCTACCAAATAAGCTTTAGAATTTTGCTTCCCCATTTGAAAGGATTTCAATCCTGAGTAATAGCAGGTCACTAACTATTTGCATCATGTCAGGCACAGCTAATGAGGCATTTAATCCAGGAGGGCAGGATTTGAACTCGCCTGCCTCCACCAGAAAGAAATCAACAGTCTATATATGATTTGAAAATGAGATACAGGGGTGGAATGGCTCATTGTTGATTGAGCTTAAAATGAAAAATATATGAATTGGACCTGATGTCATGTCAATGAAATACATCATGCCCAGGAACAAATATTTTGAGAGAGAGAGTATATTGTATGTGTACTCATGTAGCTGTACATCTATACCAATACCTGTATTTGGATCTTCTTTTTATTAGGGTCTA